ACGCGAGGCCGGTGCCGCAACTCAGGCATTGACCCTCAGCAAGGGTCATCACCCAGTTCTATTATTCTGGGTTTCCTGAGCCTTACAATTATATGAACTCAACTGTACATGATTATTTTGATGTTGAAGTCGTTGACCATTATTATAGTGCTTTCATCCTAGTCAGACTCGCTCGAGATCATACGTAGTAACAGTGTAGTCGCCGACTCACTACACCTGTGCACTACACTGTGGCTGCTGCTGCGGAAGCTGCTGCTGCTGCAGCGTGTGAACCGTTCCAACCACTGAAAAAATCGATGGAGCTAGATTGACAATAAATTTAGCAGCATTTTAGGGTCATTGCTGCTGCTGCTGCTGTTGGAGAGAGCGGCCGACTCAACCATAGGTGACTGCTGCAGCAGCAGTACCAGCATGGCAGCCAACTCCAGCCCCAACAGAGCCTACAGAATTTACAATGATCCACTAAATTTTTTCGTCAGTATGCATTGTTAAATGTGCTACTGCAACGCAACAGTATAAAACAGCAGCGACAACTGCAGGAGTATCAGAACCGGGAGCCGATTGATTTGGCTGCTGTGTCGATGGGGAACTTCTATAGTCCCCGCTACAGCAGGTACATATAATAGCTTGTACTGCTGCCTTTGCTGTTTCTGGGTACTGTGTAAGCCGCAGCAGCAACAACAGCAGCAACAGCACGCGCTGTAAGCGCTGCAGCAACCTCTAGGCAGCAACCCTGTGGGCAGGAGCAGTACCTCACGGCAGCCACCGCGGAAGAAGCAACGGCTGCAGCAAATACAGCGGCAACGCAAGCTTCTCTGCTCCGAAGGGCCCTTCACCGGCAAATTTGCTGCTCCCAGCGGCAGTAGTAGCGGGCAACGAGAGAGCGTGGGTCAGGAGAAACCGCAGCTGGTGAGAAGCTAGCAGTGGCGACCCTAGCAGCAGCAAAAGCTGCAGACTGCCGAGAAGCAGCAGCTTCAGGCTCAGCCGTATACCCATCGCCAGGAGTAGAGCAGCAGCAGCAGCGGCAGCAATGCCAGAACCCGTTCGCTTCCGCATAGAGCCCACCACTGTCGGCGACGGGCGTCTGCTGCGCTTCCTTACTGAGCAGCAGCCCCCGCAGCCATCGTGGGAAGCACCACCCACACGGCCTCTTCCCCCGCAGCAGCTGCTGGAGCAGCAGCAGCAAGACCAGGAGCAGCAAGAACGCGCACTCTCAGCCGACGGGGACTCGGCTGGTGCTGCAGCTGCCGCCGATGGATCCTCTGAAGCAGCCGCGCCCGCGTTAGCTGCGTCAGCTAGGACAGCAGCAGCAGCAGCAGCAGCGGCGGCCTCCGCCGTAGCCAGTGGGAAAGATAAGGGCGAGAGGCAGCAACTGCGCTCCTGGTTGGCAGCAGCAGCAGCAATTGACCTAGTGGGGCCTCCTTTGGATTTGCTGCAGCAGAGCGGGGCGTTTTTGATGGCTGTTGACGAGCTACAGCAGCAGCAGCAGCAGCAGCAGAACTTGCTGCTGCGCAATGAAGCGGTGTGGGCAGCAGCCATAGCCAGGAGAGACAAAGCAGCACAGAAACTTGCAGCAGGAAGCATGACGGCAGATATGCTGCTGGGGACTTTGCATGCAGCCCCGGGGGAGCGCTTTCTGACTCTACTACCAGCCGTGGACCAGCCTCGGGAGCAGCAGCAGCAGCAGCAGCAGCTGCAAGAGCAGCAGCAGCAGCTGCTCATAGGGCTGCAGCAGCGCCACGAGCGCGCAGAAAAGCTGCAAGCTGCTCTTGCCTCGTGCATCCGCGAGCTGAAAGGCCCCCATGGGGCTCCTGCTTCTGCACAGTGGCTGCAGCTGCTGCAGCTGCTGCACCTGCAGCAGTGGGAGACCGTCAAAAAGCAGTACCACGCCCTGGAGTTTGAAGTGGTCGACGGCAACTACCCATACAGGTCTGAAGTGTACGTACACCTCATGCACGTCGCTTCCACCTGCTGGGGCCCCACACCCGACGCAAGAACAGCTTTGCCGCTGCCGCCGCCGCCGCCTTTTCAAGAGCACTTTGCGCTGTTGTCAGTGGCAGAGCCGCCTGAAGACGCGGACCACCGGCAGCAGCAGCAGCAACAGCAGCAGCAGCAAATCAGGCTGCAGCTAGAGTTTCCCTCGCCTGTGGGGCCCCTCATTGAGGGGCACTCGTCGCTGCACTGCAGGGCGGCTCTGCTCATGCCCTTTCCCGAGCTGCAGCACCGGCGCCTGCAGCAGCAGCACAACTGTTGCTGTTGCTGCTCCCAACGGGGCGCCGCTGCGGCAGCTGCCTGTGGGGCCTTCCGGGCCGAGAGAGAAGCACGTGAAGCAGCAGCAGCAGCAGAAACAGCGACGACAAGCAACCTTCACGGGTCAACGTGCCTGCCGGAGCTCTCGGAGCTCCGGATGCCCCTTGCAGATGAGAGCAGCAGCAGCAGCGACAACAGGGAGGTGGCTGCAGCGGCAGCAGAGGTTCATCAGCACTTAGAAGGTGCCCAGTGGGTGCTAGCGGACTTGGCAGCAGCACACGTCCTCAGCGCGCAGCTGCTGCAGCAGCAGCAAGAGGGGAGCCTTACAGTGGCCCGACGGCACCGCAGCAGCAGCAGCAGTAGCAGCAGCTGGTGTGGAACCACTTGTGGTAGCTCGTGCCTTTCCGTGGAGACTCTGCGCGTCAGCAGTGACCGCGTTGAGCTTCTTATAAGGAATGTTCCGGTGTATTCGCATCAGCAGCAACAGCATGAAGAGCAGCAGCAGCAAGAACCTGCTGGCTGCCACACGCATGATTTCACCATCACCATATCTTATGTCCCTTCCGTTTCCCCTGACAGCGACAGCAGCGCCACCGAGAGAAACAGCAACGACACCAGCAGCAGCAGCAACGGCATTAATAGCAGCAGCAGCAGCAGCACGGGCTGTTGCGGTTGCAGCCGTTTGCTGCTGCAGCAGTTCGAGCGAGTGGCCGTGCTGTCGCTACGGCAGCTATTCCTAGACACCTGGGCAGCAGAGGCCTTTGCTGCTCCTGCAGCGTCAGCAGACGGGATCCCTAAGTCGCCCGCTGTGCGCTTGCTGCAGCAGCAACTAAAGAGGAAGCTGAGACTGCCGCCTGCGGAGCAGCAGCAGCCGCAACAGCTGTCCGGCTTAAGGGGCACATGCCTCCTGCAGAATTTCCTTAGGTGGCTGCTAGAAGCAATGGAGCTGCTGCTGCTGCCACCGCAGTAGCAGCTGCAGCACTCCAGCATCCGGCAGCAACAGCAACAACGACGGACTCGCATATTTAGTGTCAACTCAGTGTCGGTTCGAGCCGTTCCTAAGACTGCACTTTGCGTCTGCTGCTTCTGCAGAGGATGCAGCAGCCACATCAGCAGTAGCTGCAGCAGAAAATTAACAGCCGTTTGAGCAGACGGAGACGCAGCGAAGCACGAAACACCAGATATCGGTACTACTACAGTTGCTTCTTTTGCAGCTGCGGCTGCTGTTGCTGCTCTTCCTCTTGCTAGGCAAAAAAAGCGTCGTGAAACGCGCATTAAGTAGGAAGGCAGTGCAACAGATGCCGTAAGGGAGAAACTACTGTAGTCGCTGCTGCTGCCGCTGCTGCTGCTAATATTGCCGTTGCAGTTGCTGATCCTGGTGCTGTCGCTGCTATCCCGCATTGCTGTTGGCTTCTCCGGGAAGGGCCAGCGAGGATACTTGCTGGAGCAGCTTTTCTTCCTGTAGCTGTTGCTGCTGCTGCTGCCGCTGCTGTACTATGAGACGCAGCAGCTGCTGTAGTAGGGCCTCCGCGCCTTGGGCGTCAGTGATGCACACGCAGCTCTGCCGTGTGGCCAAGCGAACTCCCCTGCAGCAGCAGCAGTATCGCCCAATTTCAGCACACGGCGACTGTGCGCCCTCCAGCCGCCGAGTCTGCGTCTGCGACAGCTACTGCAACAGGTGCAGCAGCAGCAGCAACAGCCGTCACATAAACAGTGAAGGCAGCGACGGCGGCTGCAGTAGTTGCAGCAGGCTTACTTTTTCAGTACGTTACGTGTTGATACGACGCCCACAGGCACTTTTGCTGCCGCTGCTGCGGCGCGGAGAGCATGCACTTGGTCGGTCAGTCCTCCTGGCATGAGCACACACAAAGTGAAAGGCTGGCACCTTGTGCTGATGTTGCTGCTGCTGCTGGCAATGCAAATAAAAAGCAGAAACTCGAAATATAAAGGCACCATGAGCAGCTCTCCGCTGTAAATACCCCGAATTGCAGAAGCGGCGGCTGCTGCTCCAGCCTCGGCAGGAGCAACAACAACTTCAGCAAAAACAAAGAGTCAACGGCCTTAGCAGCAGCAAAAACAGACCTGGGGTGACAGTTGGTTCCAAATTTGCCGCAAGCAGTACCAGCAGAGGTTTCTTCCGTGTCGACGTTGACAAGTCAAGAGCCTCATCTTCGCTGCTGCTGCTGCTGCTGTCGCTGCTTTTGGCTTCATCTGCTTCCTGCTGCTCTTCCTGCAGCTGATCCTGCCCTTCAGAGATTGCCTGCTGCCTTCGGCGCAGCTGCTGCTGCAATGCTGCTGCTGCAGCCTCCTTTGCAGCAGCCCGGTCCTGCTTCTTCTCCTGCTTCCGCTGCTGCCGGAGTTGCACCTGCAACACCGTGCGCCTGCTGCACAGTCTCTTTCTGTTTACTCTTCCGTATTAATCAAACAAAGACGAAATAGCAGATAATGTAGACGCAGTTACGTGTGCAGCTCGGCTTAATTACTCGTGGTGTTGCTCTTGCATTATGTATACCGTACATCTGACGATGATCACACAGACGCTGCATACGGCGACTGCACTTAATCAGAAAATGCTGCATCTTGGTACTTCCTGGTGGGCATTTGAGACCATTCAACATTCTTTAAGTACATCGCCGCACGGCGTTTCACACATCCTCTGCTAAGTAAACGCCCAGCTTCACGAACATACAAGCATTTACATGTAAATTTAGATGGCCATACACACTTAAACACACTGTGAAGACAAACCGCAATGTTTTTCAGCAAAAATGCGTGGGCATGATGCAGAACTCAGAAGCGCACGCACACGCAAGGGAGCGCATGTTGCAAACACACCGTATATGAAATCCAAATAAAGTTGTTTGAAAACGTTTGTCCAACCCTTGACTGAAACAGAGTTAGTCTGAGGCGTACACAGCTTCACCTGCTGCAGCAGCAACTTCTGTGTCTCCCGCAGACCGCATACAAACCGACGGCGAGCAGCAGCACGCAGTGGAGCCCGCTGCTGCAGGCGCATCTGCAGCAACAGCAGCGACGGAAAAAATACTAGCAGCAGGGATTCGTAACTGCAGCAGCGACAGCAGCAGCAGCAGCAGCAGCACGTCAAGGTGACACCATTCCAACAGATGCAGCAGCCATGAGTGGGGTGCACACGCGACAGCCGGGCCAGCAGCACCACAAAGTTGCAGCACTAGCAAAGCGAAACGCCTGCAGCAGCACGAAACAGCAGCAGCGGCAGCAAGGAGTAGTACATAGAACTCCCTCAGAGTGGTGAGAAGGGTTACTGCTGCGGCGTCGATTTCTGGAGAAGTCAGCTGCGAATACATTCCACAGCAATATATAACCTTCAGCTGCAGTAGCGGCAGCAAATAGCAGCAGCAGCAGCAGCACTGTGGCAGTACGACGGGCAGATGTCTAAGCCGTCATTCTACATCAGCTGCACTATTAGCAGCATGAGTGGAAAGTGAGAAACAAAGTGCTGCTGCTGCACCTCCTGCTGCCGCTCCTGCTGCAGCTGCTGCTGACCTTGCCCAGTTCCGGGTGCATGTGCAGCTGCTTTGTTTGCACTGAAATGAACCACTGTTGCAGCTCTTCTTCCCGCAGCAGTCGTTGCCTTATGCTGCTGGTGCTGGCGTTGCTGCTGCTGCTGCTGCTGCTCAAGCTCCTACTCCCTCTAGCAGCAGCACTGGCAGTTGGTGCTGCTGCTGCTGCAGTAATTGCAGCAGCAGCGACAGAATCCGCACCTCCACCCTCCGCACCTTCAAAACCAACAGGCTCAAGCTGCAGATTAGTTTCTGCTGCAGTTTCTGCAGGAGCAGCAGCAGCAGGTGCTGCTGCGGCTTCAATTTTCACGTTCGTTGTACAGGAGGAAAATGACTGCTCTGTTGAAAACTGCCTGCTTCGCTGCTGCTGTTGCTGCGGCGGCGACAGCTGCTCTTGCTGCTGTTGCTGTTGCTGCTGCTGCTGCAGCTGCTGTAGAAGAATTCGCTTCTCCTCCCTCTCTGGCTGCAGCAGCTTTCGCATGCCTTTCAAAGCGCTCTTCTTCACCAGCGGTTTGCCCCTGTACCTCAGGCCTTGTGGCACGAAGCCTGCTGCAGCAGCTGCAGCAGCGGAAACCTCCGGGGCCTCCTCGCCAAGGTTGCCGCGGTGCCTCGGTCGCTGTTGCTGCTGCTGCTGCTGCAGGTTCCTTTGTTGTGGTTGCTGTTGCTGCCGTCGTTGTTTTTGTTGCGGCTGTTGTTGCTGCTGCTTGACACAAAGCCCTAAAGCTATAGCAGCGGTTGGTCCACCTAGGTACCGGCTGCTGCTCTTGCTGCTGTGGATACGAGGAAGTGCAGCGCCTGCGGAGAGGAGCCCTTTGCTGCTGCTGCTAAACTGCCCAGAGCCGCGAAAAACTGCAGCAGCTGCAAGTGGAGGGAATTCCTCCTCAGCCGACAAAGGCTCACTCTGTTTCTGCTGGCCCTCATGGTGATGCAGCTGCTGTTTTTGATGCTGTACTAGCTGCTGCTGCTCTTCTTGCTGCTGCTGCTGGTTTGCATGCTGCTGCGGTAGCCGCTGGTGCGGCTGATGCGCAACAGCAGCAGAGCCTATGGCACTACCGTCGTGCGCTTCTATAGCATTCTGCCTTGAGGAGTGACGCTGTGACTGCTGCTGCTGCTGCTGCTGCTGCTGTTGCTGCCGGCATTTCTGTTGCGGGTGCTGCTGCAGCTGTTGCTGCTGTTTCTGTCGTTGTAGTCGAATTTCCTGGTCTTTAAAAGTGCCTGAAGAGCCCTTTACGGAAGATTTAGCGGGGCTGTTGCGTGCGCCCTGGCGGTCGTCCATGTTACTGCCGTTCCACAATATGCTGCTGCCACTGCTGCTGCTAGACCTGTGGCAGCTGCAGTAGCACAGGCGTTCGTGTCCGTGGTAGCTGCTGTACTTTTAGCAAAAACTCATCCGCGTGTATATTACCAACACTTTCCCTGAAGCCCTCTTCCATTCAATAGCGGCAGCTGCTGCCGCTGCTGCTGCTGTTGCTGCTCTCCGCTGATACGCACCAGTTTCATTGAAGTTAGGATTCTGCCCACCCAACTGTTTCTACCACTGCCAAACCATGAATCAAAATTATAACTTTCTTATATTTTGTCGTTGTCATTCCGACCACGTATGAAACCGGTGTGCAAGGGGCCCTGGGGCCCCCAAGAGGGGCCCGGGGGCCCCGAGGGCCCTCTTGGGGGGCCCCCTACGCCTTATAGGGACCCTCTAAGAACCTTCAGAGGGATTCCCCCAGGGATCTTTATACGGAAGTCTGTTCCTGTCTGGTTTTGAGCAGCAAGCGGGCTGCGCCAGCCACAACAATGGCCTTCACGGAGGAGTGAAGCAGCAGCAGATATAGCGGTGGGATGAGGAGCAGCAGCGACAGAAGTAGCACTGTCGCCAGACGCAGCAGCAGCAACACGCAGAACGCTGCAGCAGCTGCAACAGCTGCTGCCACTACACAGCAATGGCAAGAGACACCAATGGTCCTTGCGCCACTGCAGACCAGCGGGCTGCCTGCACTGCTGCTGCTGCCGCTGCAGCTGCGGCTCATGTGACAGCAGCAGCAGCAGCTGCTGCTGCTGCTTCAGCTGTCGCCGCAACTGCTGAAATGCTGGCTTCAGCACTAGCAGCAACCGTCGCCTCTGCCAACACACCAGAAGCAGCAGCGGCGGCAAACGGAGAAGAAGGAACTCCTATTGCTGCCTCTGCTGCTGCAGTGGTTGCAGGAGCAGCCGAAATTCTGGAGAGGCAACAGCATGCGGAGACACCACAATTGGAGTTGCTGCTCCCGCTGCTGCTGCAGCAGCTTCAGTGGCTTGTTCCACAGCACCAGCAGCTTCTCCTGCAGCAGAGGCAGCAGGGAAGGGCTCAGCAGCAGCAGCTCCAGCCTCAAAAGCCACCACCTGCAGGGCACGAAGAGCCCGAACGGGTGCAGCGCAATCCCATGCTGCAGCAGGAGGCGCAGCGGTGCAAGCAGGAGAAGCAGCAGCAGCAGCAGCAGCAGCAGCAAGCATGCTACAGTCTGTATGGTGAGGCATCGTCGGGTTCTGAGCAGCAGCAGCAGCTGCTGCTGCGCCTTGCTCCCTCGTGGTGCTGTTTCTTGATTCGTAGCTAGCACCTCTGCTGTTGCTGCTGCCGCGGCTGCGACTGATGTTGCTTCCACTGCTGCTTCTATTGTGCTGCTGCAGTTCGCGGCATCAGTCGCAGCAGCAGCGACGCGGCCTTGAAGTGTCTCTTCAGTTGCTTCGGCTTTGTGTCTTCCTTCGAGCGGAAGCACGGCTACTGCTTTGTAGTCTACGCCGAGCCTGCTGCTGGCGCCATTGCTGCTGCTAGGGTCCCCTGTGCAGCAGCAGCAGCAGCAGCAGCAATTCAATACCTAGACGGTGCCAGCAGCGGCTGCAGGGGAGAGAAGCATCTGTCCGTGCACCTCGCCAAAGTATCCCATCCCTTGCCGCAACAGCTGCTGAGCTGCAGCAGCAGCAGCAGCAGTCCCAGAAGCGGCAAAAGCAGCAGCAGCAGCAGGTGCAGCTGCAATCGCTGCAACGCGGCCCTTCGATTTGATGCAGGGGAAGTAGAAAGCGCTGCCGCTGCTGCATTTATTGTCCCGCGCAGCAGCACAGACATGCCAGCCTCTGTAGCAGCATCAATAGAAAGGCAATCAACCGAAGCAGCAGCAACGGGAAACGAAGCACGAGCAGCAACAGGAGCAGCAGCAGCAACAACAGCAAATACCCCGTCTCTGCTGCGGCACATTTCGACCTTCCTTTCGCTGATACACGGGCAGCAGAAGAAGCTCCCTTTTATGAAAATTGTCAGCTGCTGCTGCTGCCTTGCTCGCTCTTGCTGGGGTTTCTGGGTTTGCTGCTACTGCTGCTGCTGTTTGTGATGCCATAGTGGCTCTTTGCTGCTGCTGCGCGTCGTTTTTCTGCTGCTGCCTTCGCTGTAACCGCTTCTTCCCTAGCTAGGCGTTGCTGGTGTTCTTCCTAACTTGGCTGTTTGGTGCCGCTGCAGCTGTGGTGGAAAACCTCGAAATGCTTTCTGCTGCTTTGTTTGCCGATGTCGCTGCTGGTTCTGTTGCTACAACAGCCAGTAAAATTGCTGCTGCTGCTGCCGTTGCTGCTGCTGCTCCTGTTGTTCGCTTCTCAGGCGGCCCGTGGCAGGGGTTTCGCAGCAGCAAAGGAATTGACGGAGTCCCTAGGTGTCGCTATAGCTATGTGAGCACTCGACAACTTGGTACTGTTGCTGCTGCTGCTGCTCTCTTGCTGCTCCTCTACCAGCAACAATGCGGCAACAGCGTAAGCGGCGGTGGTAGCACACTAGTGACGGCAGCAACTGCAGCTGCTGTAATTGCTGCTGCTGCAGCTGTACTGTGAGTGTGTGAGTGCGGTGTGCAGGCAATCTGCTGTAAAGACTCTTTCAGTTTCTCTGAATGATGTTTCTGCGTTGGTGTTCATTCCTGGCGACGGACAGCACCCCGTCAGACTTGAATGAAACGAAACTGCTGCTGCCGCTGTTGCTGTTGCTGCTGCTGCTACTGCTGCTGCGTATGTACCTGACATGCAACAGGGGAAACAGCCTTGACAAACTAAAGCTCGCGACAACGAAAAAAATGCAGCAGCGTCTGCAGTCGCACCAGCTGCTGTCTCAGCTGCTGCTGCAAAGCCTGCGACTATGCCAGCTACTGCAGCGAGGAAGAGCCCCGCAGCAGGCGTTGGCCTACTTGAGTGTGCTTGCGCTGCAGAGGACTGCTGCTGCTGTGTGTCTGCAAACGCCCCCTTCGTGGAGTTGCGTATCGATCGACCCCCGCATGCAGCAGCAGCAACAACAAAACGCGGGGCCTCCCGCCGGTGTTGCTGTTTCTGGATGCCGTTTTGCGGGTGTTGTTGAAGATCGCATCTTTTGTTTCCAAGGGAGAGCTGAGGCTTTTTGCATGCACTCACTTGACACCATTTTGCAGCAGCAGCAGCAGCAGCAGAAGCTGAAGCCAGACGTAATTATACTGCTGGGGGTTCACTCGCACGCGCCGCTGCAACAGTTCTTTGAGCGGCTGCTGCAGCACTACGGAGGAACCGCTTCTCACTTTATTGCTGTGTCTCTCCCCTGCTGTGGTGAGCTGCTGCCAGTGCTGCTGCTCCTGCTGCTGCGGTGTACAGCTGCATAGGGAAGCAAAGTTTGCGTCTCCTGCTGGCGTTGCGTTCAGGGTCTTGCGGTTTCCTTAAGGCCCCTTTAGTCTCTCGGTATAGAGACCCGGGGATTCTGTCACCCCAGAATGAAGTTTACGTACACCACCTTCCGTCACCTGCAGCTGCTGCTACAGCTGCTTCCAGTGCAGCTGGTCGCGAAGCAGCTGCTGCAGCTACTGCAGATGGGCGAGGCTAGCACGAGAACACTCTGATGCGGCCGCTGCAGCGGCACGTTGTCACGTGGCAGTGGTGTCAAAGCTACTGCCGCTGCTGCTGCAGTGTTCTTACACCCGGTTCAGGCACAGCTTCAAAACCACAGCTAGTGCCGCGCAGCAAGCAATAACTATGGAGAACAGAAACGGCACAGAGCCCAGTTGGGGTCTTCCTACTGCCGATGCTTCTGCCGACTCCGGTGCGGAAAGTCCACTAGAAGTGCTTCTGGCACCTGCCGAGGCTGCTTCCTGTGCTGCTTGAATTCGCTGCAGCGCAACCGCAGCAGCAGCAGGCCCGAAAGCTGCATCAGCTTCGAGCAGCGGCCGCAGCAAAGCCGGCAGGAAGTGCAGCAGCCAGAACCGCATCTATAGGCATCGACGATATAAGGGAACAAACAGAAGTTTGACGTGAATGAAGCGGCTCCAGTCGAGCCCAAAAGAGCCAAACGAGGAACGCGAGACAATGGGAGTGTCATATGCAGTCATGCACAAGTATATTTACACTTTTATGTGTGTTTAAACACATATATATGTAATTAACCTGTGCATATGAGTATACCGCAAATGAAAGATGCTACCCTGGAAAAATCCAGGCCATAGAAATAAAAGCAAAAAGAAATAGAAACCGGGGGGCATGGCGGGAAAAGAAAGGCAAAGAGAAGCGCATAAGCAGCACCGGGCTACCCAGACCCGCACAGTTAAGCTGTAGCAAACTTACTGAAGTGTGAGGGTGCATCCGAAAAGCAAAGCGACAACGAAAGAGACAAAAAGAAACAGGAAAGAAGCGACAAGGCGCGAGGACAGTCCCGGAATCGGGCATGCAAATGCAGCATTTGGGGGAAAACAGATGAACGAAAGATTCAGAGATACCGTGATAGCAAATGGCGCCGTAGAGACACAAATAGTGCTTTATGAAGGCGAATGGCACACTTATAAAGCACTATTTGCCTCCCTGGCGCCATAGAGACACAACTAATGCTTTTGCAAAAGATGCAGCAGGCAAACTCCAGACAAAGCGGCAGGGTCACTTCCGTCAGCGTCATTTTTATTTCCTTTTCAACACGCATTCTTTCTCATCTCTCGAAACAGTTTAAACTATTTGGTCTACTTGGTTGTGATATTCATTTACTTATTCCTTACATGAATAAATTCAGGAAACAGGCGCCTAAAGGTGCTGCTGTTCATACAGGCCGACCCGGACTCCCGAGCCAAACGGCGGCGCTCCTCCCGCGAGGTGGAGATACACCCTAAAGCATTAGTGGCTCCTTCATCTGTAGCAGCAGCAGCAGCAGCAGAAGCGGCACAGGCAGCAGATCCAACGACAGCTGCTATCACTGCATAAACAGCGCCAAGCATCCACTGCATCGGCAGCAGTTGCTGCTGCTCCTACTTGTGCCGCTGCATCCCCATCACCAGGAGCAGCATCACGTACCCAGCATAAAAGAAACGAAGCCGGTAAGCAGCGTTTCAATTTTCCATGATGGATTCCACAGTTCCTGAAGTCAGCGGCAGCATCAGCAGCAGCAGAACTTAACGCGCAGTTAAACCCTCGAGCAGCAGCATACAGGAAGCCAGGGGAGTTGCACATCCAGCAACAGACACCGCAGCAAACGCAACACCCAGAACTGCAGCAGCAGAAGGGAAGCAATAGCAGCAGCACCGGATGGAAGTCCGTGAAGGACAAGCAGAGTCTTGTATTGACTTCAAAACGGCCGTTTGGAGTCAGCAGCAAAATTGAGGGAGGCGCAAACGGATATGTGGGCGGGAACACCTGCAGCAGCAACAGCAGCACACAGAAATGTGAAGCAAACAGTTACAGCGAAGGCAGCGTCAAGTTCAGATGCTGCAACTGCTGTAACAAGAGCTAGCTGCGCAAGTAGCAACAGCACCAACGGCAGCGGCAACACCAGACTCAACAGAAGCAGCAACAACAGCAACAGCAACGCCCATCCCCGAGCGTGTCGTTGTCACCGGCATTCGTTTTCAGGCCCACGAGTAGAAACCGCAGCAGCAGCAACAGCAGCAGCATCAGCAGTGGCAGCAACAACAGCAGCGGAGTGCTCTCACAATCTTGCCCAGGTAGAATCCGCCAACGAAAGGCGTGTCTGCCGGCAGGTCGTGTCTGTAGCACCAGCAGCAGCAACACGATCAGCTGCAGTAACAGCAGCAGCAGCAGCAGGAACAGCAGCAGCAGCAGCAGCAGCGTCGGCAATCGCACGGGAAGAAGCAGCGCTGCATCAGCAACGCGAGACCATTGAAGCTACGCGCCGGAAATGCGCTGCGCCGGCTACGAGAAGACGAAACAGAAACAAAGCCAAAGAGAAACAAGGAAGAACAGAGACCAAGAAGCAAACATAAACAGAGAAAGAAACAGAAACAATGCGAGAAACAGAAACAAAGAAAAAAACAGAAGCAAGGAGAGAAGCAGAAACAAATACAGAAACAGAAACAAAGACAGAAACAGAAACAAAGACAGAAACAGAAACAAGGAGAGGAATCAGAAACAAAACAGAAACAGTAACGAAGCCTGAGGTCGAACAGAAAGACAAAAACTAGGACCAGCAGCAGCGCAGAGATTTGGAAAGGCAGCAGGGCGTGGAAAGCAGCAAAGGGAATCTAAGATGAGCAGCCAGAGAGCAACAGTGCAGCAGCAAATGGCAAATGAGAAAACGAAAACAAACTCGGGGAAATAAAAAAGAAACGCACATGAGAAAATACCAAGTGAGCAAGTCATCTCCATTTGGCTTGGCCTCGATATTGGGTAGCGGCTCTGACTGGAGAGAACGCCACTCCCGCCGCAGACGGGCTGCTGCTGGGCTCGAGGCCATCTTCTGCTGCTGCTGCTGTTGCTGCTGCTGCTGCTGCTGAGGATGCGAAGAGGAAGAATTGGGGAAGGTTGCTGACGCTGCTGCGTTACCCGTGCGGCTGCGCCAGAGGCGGCAGGTGTTCAGTCGGCCGCAGCTGCTGTACCTGCAATTCCTGCTCCTGCTGCTGGAGATTCGGTTATTGACGCTGTTGCAGAGGGTGCAGGAGCTCCTAAAAAAGACATCTGCAGCTGCTTCCACACGGGTTGTTGCTGCTGCCCGCTGCTGCTGCCGTTGCAGTATTTGCAACTGATATCAAAGACCGTGACGCCAAGCCAGCTATCGGCTGCTGTCGTTGTCGCTGCTTCTGCTACATGTCTCACGACAAAACACAGTGGGATATAATATGCCAAAAGTAGTTACAGCAATGAATGGAGCAGCCGCGACCGAAGCAACGGCAACTGCCACTGCTTCAACGAGAGCAGCAGCCCGCGAGCGCAGCAAGTGAAGCTACAGAATATAAATGTAATGCATGCGCTGAATCAAAATAGGGGATTCCAGTGAATTGCGCCTCATGCCTTCCGTATTTCCCTTAATCATGTGCTCATACTTCTCTTGCATGCATGGCTGCAGCAGCTGCAGCATAGCCCTCACAGCTTGTCTTCCCGGCAACTAGCGGTGTTAGAGAGCCGCTTGATCACCACAAGATGAGTTTTGCTGTTGTTATCCCAACAACACAGAAGGCCTAAGGTTGATTTGGTGCTGCAGCTGTCGCTGCTGCTGCAGCTGCTGCAGCAATTGTCAAGCAGACTCTTTGTTGTTGCCTGTGACTTCCGTGGCAACAACTACAGCAGCAGCAGCATTGCTACAGCAGCTGCAGGGAATATATCTTTTTTTCTACTGCTGCCTTCACTGCTGTCGTTGCAGCGCTGGAGCTGCGGCTCCAGTGCGGGGCCTGAGGACGACTGACGAGCGGACTCGCCGATACCTTCTGCAGCAGCAGCAACAGCAGCAGTGACGGCAGATGCTGCTGCTGTCACACGTGCTGCTGCTGGCGCAACAATGGTCAAAGCCGGCGCCGCTGCAGCAACTTCAGCTGCAGCAGTAGTTGCTGCAGCAGTTGTCGCTGCACCATCAAGTGCAGCAGCAGTAACGGCGCTAGCAGCTATGAAGAAGTCCCGCTTATATCCCTGTACACCTGGGAGTGTCCCTCTAGACACGTACTTGCTGCTGCTCTTACTGCTTGTCGGTTTTGGTTTCCTTGCTGCAGCTACTCTGCTGCAATGGCACAACAGCAGGGCCCCCCGCGCTTCTGCTCTCCTTGCAGCAGCAGCAGCCAGGCCCCGCAGCGGCTTAATGGGGGGTGGAGCTCTTCGCTCGAAGCTGCTACTGTTGCTGTCAGCAGCTGCTTTTTTTCGGGCTGTTTTGCTGCTGGTTATGCTTATTCTGCTACTTATGCCATTGCTGCCGCCGCAGCGGCAGTCGCAGCAGCAGCATCTGCCGTTTCAGCAGCAGCAGCTGCAGCAGAAACAGCTGCAGCAGCCACAGCAAACGCCTTTGTCCACCAACCTAAGTCAGGCTTCAGCTGCACCGGAGCAGCAGCTGCTGCTGCAGCGGCCGCCTCCGGCGCCTGAAGGTCAAGGCAACTTGATAGCAGCAGCAGAAGCGGCAACAGCTGCATCAGCAGCACGAAGCAGCCTGCCTAGCGTCAGGTCTGGGGCTTTTCAAGAAGAAAGCTTTGCTGGTGGTACAACGCCAGACGCTACAGCAGCAGAAGCAGCAGCCGGAAAAGCAGCAGCAGCAGCAGAAGCAGCAGCAGCAACAGCAGCAGCAGCAACAGCGGCAGCGCAGCGCGGTGGCATGTGGCCATCTCCCCTGCAATGCGCTTCTGTGGATGTTTGGTGGAGCACTTTGCTGCACTTTATTCCCTCGCTGCTGTCTGTGTCTGTCTTTTTACTGCTGGGGGCTTTCGCCTGGCAGCTGCATGCAGCAGCAACGCTGCGGCGCAGCAGCAGCAAGATTGGACCTGCTGCTGCGCTTGCTGTAGCAGCTGCGGGCTTCATTGCCTTCATTCTTGCTGCGGCCTTCAGCTACAGCCAGGCATCGCAGCACTTGTTTCAAAGGTACTTTCTCGATCTGCTGCTGCTGCTGCTGTCAGAAGCTGCTGTTTCCGCTGCTGCTCCTCCTGCAGCTGCCGCTGTTGCTCTTGTGGCTGTTTCTGCCGCTGCTGCTGCTCGGACAAGCCTAGCAGCTGTGTGTTCGTTGGCAACTTTTGCTGATGCTGCTGCTGCAGGTTAGCGTGCGTGATAGTTGGGAGCCTATACGTGTTTACTTCGTTGCTGCTGCTGCTGTTTGGCGGTCTTGTGCTGCGGGAACTACGGAAGAGAGATGCGCAGCTGCGGCAGCCCCTGCTACAGCTTCAGGAGCAGCAGCAGCTGCTGCAGCAGCAACTGCAGCAGCAAGAACTTGCTGCTGCTCAGAGCTCCATAGGGTCGCAACTAGGAGACTACGTGCTGATGCAAATCTTGGGCATACCGTCTAACCAGCAGCAACAGCAACAGCAGCAGCAGCGCATCAGCAGGAGCAGCAGCAGCATCCAATCAGTGCAGATGCCACTTGCCCCTGCTCCTGCTGTTCTCGGTGCCTTGCCACCCCCTGTCGGCAGCACCAGCCTCGACGAGTTGGGCAGAGAGGCGCGTTTGCGGCTGTTGCTGCTGACTTGCTGCTGCCCGCCGCTGCTGCTGCTGCTGGGCGTGTATCTGCTGATGGTGGGGCTATGGGGCCAACACATGTACCCTGCTGTTGTTATGAAGCATCGGCAGCAGCTAACGTTTGATTTGCTGCTGCTGTTTGTTGCTGAATTGCTTCCTTCTCTTATTGTTTTCAAGGCCTTCACGCCCAGCAGCGGCACCAGCCGCAGCCGCAGCCGCAGCAGCAGCAGCAAAAGCACAAATGTAGTTTGTCACACACTTTCCTACGACCAGCCTGTGAGCTTCTGGGATGCTGCGGCAGGCAGCAGCAGCAGCAGTATGCGGGTGTACCCTCAACTGCAGCAGCAGCAACAGCAGCAGCGGCAGCAGCAACTGCAGCAGCAGCACAGGCAACAATACATGCAGCCGCCGCAAATGGGGGCCCTGCAGATACTTCAGCAGCACCTGCAACAGCATGAAGCAGGCACAGATTCCTCTTGTCTCAGCAGCAGCTGTGGCCACCAGCGCAGCAACGGCAGCGGGGAGGAGGCCAGCAGCAGCAGCCCTAGCAGCAGCAGCCGCAATACCAACAGCAATCCCACCTGCAGCAGCGAAATGTCGAGCTTCTACGGCGCAGTCCAAAACACAGAAAGAGACTCTTTCTCCTAAATAGGGAGCGACAGCTAGCCACCCGACTGGCTAGCCGCCCAGCCAGCTAGCTGACAATTTGGGCAGCTCGCGAGCGAGCTAGCTAGCAAACTAATGTGCTAGCTAATAAGTTGGCTGCCAAGTTAACTGCAGATCTGGCTAGCCAGCTGTGGCTAGCCAGTAGACAGAACATCCTGTGGCTTTAGACTTCCGGGTTTAGGGTTCGGGACTTGAAACAGCTTGTCGGTCCGCCACTACTGGAGCGTTGGCTTCTATCACCTGAGTTGTATGACAACTCCGGCTAGATAGCTAGCTAGAGCCTAAGCGACTCGTAGCTTGCACATTACAAGCCAACGAGCAACGTCGAACTAGCCAGTTTTTTAGCTAGTTGCTGCCTGCGTCGCGTTGCTACCTTCGTAGCCAGCTGGCAGGCTACACGACGGCCTCGCGAAGTAGCTAGCCAGTTGGCCAGCTTGCAAGCTATATAGCTACCTAGCTTGTTGGCCGAGTACCTGACTAGCTTGCAAGCTAAATAGCTAGCAGCTAGCTAGCTAGGTGGCTCTGTAGCTGGCTTTTTGCCCAGCGTGCATAGGCACGTCCAGTAGACGCGACGCTCTTGTCTGTCTGTCTGACAAGTCGTTTTTCATACATATCAGTCTTACGCTTTGGCCCCCCTTCATCGCTCCTTCTTTTGGCGTATGTCCAGGTTTGCCGTATGGTTTTTTATACATATGTACATGTGTTCCATGTATTCCTAAAAACATGTTCATGTATCTGTTCCACTGACTCATGGCGTCTGTACACTGCAGTTTATTGTGTGGGTTTTGGAGTTTCCTTAAAATAAACAAAAAGGCACAAGAAAGCGCAAACAGCAAAGCGGGATGAAACAAAAAAAGCCAAAGATACTTCTGTCCGTTGCACATCTGCAGCGTTCGCAGGTCTGTTTTGTCCCGTCTTCGCTTTTGCCCACTGATGCTTGGTTGGTTTCCCACCAAGCTTCACTAGTTTCTCTTCCCGCACCTGTCTAGATTTTGCAATCATCTGACTCTTCATTTGTTTTCAGTCGTCACTGCTTTCCTCGCTATCGGATTCTGCTCCTGCGACGCCTGAGAGCCGCAAAAAAAGGTAACATAAACGGTGTAAACAGGACTACACAAATAAACGTGATTTAAACGCATCTAAGTGTACGGACAAACTGGCAAGTTTGCTTCCGCACAAACAGATAAAAACGAACTAAGGAATTAGCCGGGGGATAAATGCATGCGTTCGCCTCTTCGTGAAAGGACGGGTTGAAAAACAAATGGCTAAACAGAAAATAAAAATACCACCAAATTAATGTGGAAAACACCCACCAAGGTAGACGCCTATGGCCTTCGGAACAATTATGTCTCTTATGACCACTGCCATTTCGTATTCGGTGCTCAGCCGCTTGAACAGCAGACGGGCTTCCTGAGAACAAAACCAGTAGGCAAGCAAATGAGCCCTTTGGCCCTTTTAATCACCTAAACTCGTCTTCCGACTACCCAAGAGTGTAGTTGCAGTTGAAAGGGCATTGAACTGCGTTGTCTCGGCCCATGGATTGCTAGGTGACTGCACAGCTGAGCGTCGATATGTATCCATACGCATGCATATGCACGCGTATAGACGTGGAGATAAGTAGGTGCGCAAGTGCATACATATATACATACATAGACACATACATAATATATATATAATATATTTATATATGCATACGCGTGTGTGTACGAATGCACAGCTCACATCATCTCCCATAGCCCTAATTGCTCTATTGGATGGCACTTGTGTGTTCTCGAAGAAATTAAAAAATGAATTCTCGCTTGTTATATTTTTGACGATTCGAACTTCCCGAGTCCGGAGGTTCCTCTGCTTGCTTATCCTCACAGACTTCGTGAGATCCTGAAGTCAGCACAGTGCAGTTAACGCAGAAGCATCCTGTTAATCACGTATGAAATAATTGTTTGCAACTAAAAATGTAGGGCTGAAACGTCTACTATAGCGTGGCAAATGCAGCGACTTCTTCACAACTGGTCCGTGCAGTTTACTGCTAACTAGTTTTAAGGACAGGTTGCAATTAACGTTGCCGAAGCATTGGTAAAGTTTCCCAAGGTAATGTGGTGTGATTGAAAGTGACAACCCTGTTAAACTAACAGTGGGCAAAAAATGAGGGAAAATCTAGAATGCCGAGATAATAATGGCACTAAATTTGCTTGCTTTTCGGTTCCAGGTAAGCTAAGCATGGTTTGTCAGTAGACTGCAATTCTCCATGTTACCTGTGCAGTATGATGCATTTAGTAGTGTAATACCATATGCCTATGTGGTAGGGTAGAGCACAACGCGATACATGCAACGGGGAGTGATTGAAACCATTTGTACCACGAATAAAGCAGTGAGATGCGATCAGTGCTACGTGGCGCTGCAGTGTACACTCTGTTTTGCTTCACGGCAAATGTCCAACATATTGGAATGCAGATAACACAGAAGGACAAAAACTCTCCAGATTAGTACCACTTGCACTTCATATTCAAACACGGCAAATGCAGGCTTTTCTGTTGGCGCTGCATTGCCATTCCACTACTGCGCCTACCACCCTCATTATTACATTCATGAGAGATCCAACTGCGTCCCAGCTGGCACGTGCACACGCATACAGCGTAGCACCAAGCTCCTTAGCTGGCTTGCGAGTCAGCAACCTAGCTAACCAACAACCCAGCTACCTAGGTTTGGTGAGTGAACTATAAGCGCTCTGATCCCGCTTAAAAGCCTTTCATCTTCTGCCTGTCTCCATATCTGAGGCCTCAGCCCCCGAAATTAGGGTTCACATTTTCAGTGCAGGGGTTGGGACTCGTAGTGTGCTGCAGGCGGCCCACCATTCCTTCATTCCAGTGTATCTCGGTGCCAATAGTTTTGGCAACAACCGCATCGTCTCCTTGTTTCTGCATGCAGATTTCTTTACTGAGGACTCGATTCGAAAAGAAAGGATTGGAAGCAAAGACGAAAGAAACGCTGAAGCCATCTTCCTTCCGCAGCCTCTTGTCGGCTCTTACGTCTTCAAGATACAGCAGGCAAGCGCGATCCCCAGAGCTTAGAGATCTCGCTGTGTGCGCCTCACGCTCTAACACACTCAGCCAAAACCCAGGCAGGCCAGGGGTCGCCACGGAGTAGCCTGCTGATGGCGTCACTGCTGTTTCAGCTTCTGCGGTTGCTGCAGTTTCTGGAGCTGCTGCAGACGTTGACGGTGCTCGTGCTGGCTGTGACGGGGCCGCTGAGGCGAGCGTGCTGCTGGGGGCCCCTGCTGCTGCGGCAGCGGCTGTTGCAGCAGCTGCTGCTGCTTCCAGCTTGCTGGGACATGACAGCAGCTGAGCACGTTTCTGATACAAGGGCAGGAGGCGTTTCTCGTGCTGAAACCTGGCGAAAGACGCAACGGTAATAATAACAAAGGTAACCATGAAACGGGGTGAAAATAGTAATAATCACAGCAGCAGATGCTTCTAACCGAAAAATAGAGAGTAGCAATAATAGTAATAGTAGTGGTAACAATAGTTGTGCTAAACGTCCAGACTTCACTAAGCAGAGACAAGACACATAATTGGAATAAACCCACAAAAAGCACCAGGCCTAAGGTTCGGGGCATGAGATTCGCTACCTTAGGAGCTCTACTTCTTGTTCGAATTCCCTTTCTAGGGTTTGCGCCTCTTCATCGAGCTGCTGCAGCTGCCCCACCAGCAGCCTCTGCGAATGGTTCAGCTGCTGCAGCAAAGGAGGCTCGGACTCCGTTTCCGTTTCTGTTTCCGAATCTCCCTCAGAACTTGACTGGGAAGAAATAGAAGGGGCTTCGCCTCTTAGCACCCGCAGCGCCTCAGCGAAGGCGCGGCGGGTGTCATCTGCATGCTGCACCACGATGGTGGGCGATTCTGCTGCGGCGGGTTCAGCCTCTGCTGCTGCTGCTTCTCCTGCTGGTTCTCGTTCAGATTCTGCTCCCGCTGCTGCGGCTCCTTCTGTTGCTGCGCCCGCCGGTTCAGGCTCTGCTGGTGCAGTTGCTTCAGCTTCGGCTGCTTTTGCTGCTGCTGCTTCCCTTTCTTTCCTCAGTCTGTCCTCTTCTTCCTTTTGTCTCTCCAATTCCTTTTGCTTCATTAGTTCTTCTTGCTTCTCGATTTCCCTTTGTCTCTCTAGTTCTCTCTGTCTCTCTATTTCCGCCTGCCTTTCCGTTTCCTTCTGCTTCTCCATTTCCTTCTGCTTCTCTATTTCCTTCTGCCTCTCTATTTCCTTCTGTCTTTCTATTTCCTTTTGCCTCTCCATTTCTTTTTTCTTTTCTTCCACTTCCTTCTGCCTCTCTATTTCCTTCTGTTTTTCGATTTCCTTTTGTCTTTCTACTTCCTTTTGCCTTTCCATTTCTTTCTGCCTTTCGATTTCCTTTTGCCTCTCTATTTCTTTCTGCCGCTCCAGCTCCTTCTGCTTCTCCGCTTGCATTTGTCTTTGTCTCTCTGCCTCCTGCAGCTCCTGCAAAATGTCGGCTGCTGTTTTGTCGCTCTGCCTTTTCCCACTTGTGGGTGAGGGAGGAGTTGGGGGTCTCTCTTTTTCTTCTGCGAATATATCCAGGTCTACAGAGTGTGCGCGCTTCAAATCTATGGCTGTTGCGTTTTGCTGCTGTTGCTGCTCCTGCTGCGGGTCCTTCTGCTGCTGCCCCTCTTGCTGCTGCTCAGGCTGCCGTTCCTTCTGCTGCTCCGGATGCTCGTGCACCGGACGCTGCTCCGTCTTCTGCTCCTTCTGTTGCTCCGGTTGCTGCTGCTGCTGCTGCTGCTGGTCATGCTGCCCTTGCTGCTGCGTTGTTTCCCCTTCCTGGGACTGCAATTGCTGTTTCTGTTCCTTCTGTCCTGCGTCTTGCTGCTGAGATGCTTGCTGCTGTGAATCAGAAGCTGGCGGCTCCTGCTGCTGTTGTTGTTGCTGCTGCTCTTCTTGCTGCTGTTGCTGCTTCTCCACGGCCGCCGCCGGGGATTCCTGATCCGCTTCTGGAACATCAGACCCCTCCTTCAAGGAGGAGTCGCGGCCGCCTTTCTTCCTCCCCATTCTATGCCCTTAAGGTGTCAGGTGCGGGAAGGGGTAGGGCTTCTGGTTAAGGGTACGTGAGCCAACACGAGAAGAGCTTTGAGTGATATGTGCTAAATATGAAGCCAGAAGCCTCTATTTCTTTGCCCTGAACGCCTGGGTGCATCGGTATGGGAGGCCGTTAGCCTCAAGTCTTTGACCCCGAGCCTAAGTCGCTGGTCCTTAGGAGCTTTATCCCGCGAATGCTGCTCGTAAGACAGCAGCAAGCCACCTGTAGGTGCTGCTGTGACAATGCTGTGTGGCTACTTCAAGCCATCTGCAGGCGCAGCAGCTGCAGTAGCCGCAGAAGCCGCAGCAGCCACAGCAGCCACACCAGCAGCACCGGCTAGACGGAAGAGTTAGGGTGAGGAGGCCTTGCGGTGTACAGGAAGCAGAATGTGCACTAAGGCAAACAGCGAAAAACCGAAAAGTTAACCGAGACACACCAGTGTGTGTGTAGGGCCAATGTACACGTCAGCATGCAGCAGCAGCAACTCCATCGAAAGTCGCAGCAGCAGGAGTAGCAGCAGCAGCCAGCTGCAGTTCCTTCTGCTTCTGACCCACTGGCAGCAGCAGAAGCAACGGCATGCCGATTTGATTCAACATTTTCCTTAGTTCTTAGTTTTGTCCAATGGAATTTAATTCGCAAACACCCTGACCAGCAAGCTGGTGACGCACACGGGCCAGTGGTCCGCGGCCATGCGGTTGCTGCTGCTGCTGCCCTCACTGCGTGCTGCCTCTGGAACTGTCTGCCCTGTATTCTAGAACATGCGACGACAGCACCTACTGCTGCATCTGCTGCTTTGAGTCTAGTTGATATGCTAGTCAAGGAGGGTGGCTTTGGATGTTGCGGTTACTTGTTATGTTGGCGTTGCTGTGAATACTTGTGCTGGTGTTTTGTGTTACAGTTGCTGTCGATGCTGGTATTCCACCTGCTGGCATTGCTAGCACTTCTGCTGCTATTTGCGTCAGCGCTTCTGTTACTGTTGCTGCCTTTGTCTATGCTTTCGCTGCTGCTGCTTTTTTCTGGTTGTACTGTTTGAGCAGTCGATGCTGCTGTTCTTGTGGGTCGTGAAGTTGCAGATGTTTGGTTTTTTGCTGCTGTTGCAGTAAGTCGCAGTAATTCTGCTGGTGCTTCCTCTGTTGGTGCCTTCATTTTGGGCGTTAGGAGCGAGTGAGGGCCGGCGCTGCGGCAGCTGCTTGTATTGGCGCTGCTACTTCTGCCGCTTCTGCACGCGCAGAGCAGTATCATTCGTGCTGTTGCTGCTGCCTCGAGTTGTTGCTGCCGGAGCGGATGCTGTTGTCCCAGTCGCTGAGAGCCCAGCATCGGGATGCTGCGTTGCACCTGTTGCCGCTTCACTTGGCGTGCTGCCGGAGAAGCGCAGAGTCTCTACAGCACTACTATGTTCAATTGTGCGGTTTTGTTCTCGCTGCTGTTGCAGGAGCGTCTGCTGCTGCTCTGTATGGTGCTCTTTCCCATATTTTCGGTTTCGCTAATGTTGCTAGACCAGATGCGGCTGTGTCATTGCTCTGCTGATGTTGCATACGCTGACTTTGTCGCTAGTTCCACTCGCTGAGCGTCTGCTGCTGCGCTTCGTCTCGAGGTGGCGTAGGTGGTGGTGGTTGCGTTGTTGCTGCTGATCCTGCTGCTAGTTCAGTCACTGTGTTGCTGCGGCAGGCTTCAGTAGTGCAGAGTTCTGCAGAGTCGCTTCACATCAGTTGGCAGCGCTCCCCGCAGTCACACCAGCCTTTGCAGAAGCAACTGCACGTGCTGCAGAAGAAGCAATTGCAGGTCTTGCTGCAGCATGCGCGGCAATACCTTTTTCTCCAGCACAGCTCTAAAAACCGCTGCATCAGGAAGTGACTCCTAGGGAGCCACAGCACTTTTAGTTATTGAGGAAGTACGCAGATTGTTTCGTATGCGAATGACCCAAGCAATGAGCTACCTAGGTACCTGGTTGAGAGCTCGGTGGGTAGCTAATAAACTTTCGACTCAGCTAGCAAAGTAGGTTGCCTCTAGCTAGCTGAGCTAACTAGGCAGGTAGCTGTTGAGCCAAGCTTCAGTAATCCTGTTCCTGAGGGCAGGAAAAGTGAGGCTAGCAGAACGTTGAAAACAAATGGATCTCTTCGCGGAAACTTTTGCTGCTGCTGCGGCTAGGGTGGTGCTGCTAGGGCTGCTGTTGCAGTCCAGTATTGCCTGGGACTGCCTGCAGAGCGCCGAAGAGGGAGGCCGGGCCTTTCCAACTAGTTGACGTGTTCTAGAGAGGAGTATGCTGGCGACCCGTGAAATGCATAGGGAGAAGACTCAACCCTAACCCAGGAAATAAAAGTTACGCCTTAACGTAGGTGAAAATAGGGAACAAAGGCTCCATTGGACGCTCTGCTACATCTGCTGCTGCTGTTTGCTGTGCCGCTGCAGCAGTGCTGCTGCAGCAGCGAACCACGCTTTTGCTGCAGCTACTCTTAGTGTTGCTGTTGTGCACTACATTTACGCTATGGATGCTGCCGCAGGCTTTGCACCTCCAGTTGATGCCCTAGGCGTTGTAAGTATTGAGGACAGCCCTGCTGGAAACCATCCACGAAAGGGGCTTGTTGATGAAAGGAAGCGGACTATGACACTACTTCGAGGGTTCTGTCTAGAAAGCAGAAGATTCTAGAGAGTGGTATTGATCCTATGCATAATAAGAACAGTGAAATAACACACATTAGGAATAACAATATGTAAGGCCTTCAAGCGACCCTGCAGTGACCCTGGTGCTAGCAGCCTGGGGGCCCTGCACCTCCACTGACGGCGCTTGCAGGCGACTTGACCCGTGTCAGGCAACAGCGCCTGAATTCCGATGCACGCAAGCGTAAGCTGCAGGGCTCTTGCGCGCTTACTGCGCTCTTGTGCGCTTATTGCCTAATGTGGGTAAGTTCAGGACGGCCAGCGGGGGGCTCTGAACCTGTTGGGGGAACGTTTAGCCTCTACATCTACACTTCAGATCAACTGCGCTGAGTGACTGGTTTGCGTTTTGGGCATTTTGAAGGAGCAGGAGCGTGCTGCCTACTTTGGTGGACTATCGATTTCATTAGCGATGGCTCTTCCGTAGACCCTAGCACCAGAACCGTGAGCGTCAAGCATTAGCTCATAAAAACTGAGATACTCACGTTATATGCACATTTTTAGAGTATTTCAACTACTCAAAGAGGTCTCCTATAGACGTTAGAGCTTGGGGGCCCTCTAGTTCAGCCCCAGGGCCATCGCGCCTATTCGAACCCCTTTTGTCGATTTCTAGAGCAACAATAAGTGTATTTTCGTGGTTTCAATCTATTTTTCTAGTTTTAGGCCTAGCATTTGTGACTTGGGGCTAAGGTGTATGGCTGCACAGCAAAGCACCGTCCAACGAGTTGGGACCCTGGAGTTGCTCACGTTTGGAGCGGCAGCAGCAGCACCAACAGCAGTAGCCGCCTCACCTGCAATGGCAATGAAAACATTAGCAACAAAATCAGCTGAAGCAGGAGAAACGTCCCCAACAACAAACTCTGCAGTGGGAGCAACAGCAGGACAATTAACAGCTGGTGTCCAGCAGTAGTAGCCGCAGCAGAAGCAGCAACAGTGGTTCCAGTTTCAACAACAGGAGCACCAGCGGCGGCCGATGCTGCTGTGGCTACTGCTTGTGAACTACGGAAGCCATCACAGGTAGGAGCCCGGAGCACTATTGCTGCGGTTCCTAGCGTAGGGTCTACGGTTTAGGGCCCAAGTAAAAAGTTTTATAGGATGAAGGGCACCTTATTTGGAAACTGGGATTGGCTGAAGTACCTCACGAGGGTGCACGTGAAATACTCGAACAGGAGACCACACACAAACCAAAACGCAAAGTACGCGGATTTTGCCGTTGCTGTCTTGTGGTAGCGGCTATTGCTGCTGCTCTTGTTCTTGCTGAGCACCGACAAGCTGCTGGAGCTGCTGCTGCTGCTGTAGCTACTGCGAATTCTGGCCGTGGCTGCGCTAGTATTGAAGTCTTTCTTGTTGCTCCTACGGCGATTGCTGCTGCTGCTTTTACTCGCTGGGTTGCTGCTGATGCGGCTGCTCCGTTCCAGCAGCTGCTGCCGCTGCGTCTCCTATAGCTGCTGCTGAACGTATGTGTCTAAATGATGGCTTTTGTGGGCAGTTTTTATCGACTTTGCCCGATAGGTATTTGTTTGGCTTGCAGGGACCTCATCTTGCGCCTCTGCAGCACCAAAGTGCAGCAGAAGTATCCGCAGCTGAAAGTTAGCTGGGAGTTACTAGACTATGACGCGGCTGCTTCCGTCGAGGTGACTCTAGTGAATGGACAGACGCACAAGTGAGTGAATTTGCATCAGGGCGTGGGGTCTATTTGTGCTGTAATGCTCAGGCCCTCGTGCAGTGGTTTGGCCTAGCGCGGCTAGGCCGAGACTCCGAAATTCAAAATTCGGATTTTAGGGTTTGGGTCGGCCTCAAAAGACTTGGGAGCGGACAAGAGGACTTGAAGAAACAAACGGGCAGCACAGACTCTGCTGCTGCGTGTGTGCAGGCAGCTGCTGGAGGGCTACAGCTCAGCGCAGAGGCGCGAAATCATAGACAAGTGGCGCTTTAGCGGTAAGCATTCAGGAATATGGCTATAATTCAATCGCCCCGGTGTACAGCTCTTTTTTTACAGCTTTGCGTCAAGGGCTGAGGGGGCAATTTTGCATCCAAGAAGAGCCCCGGAAGAGCCCTGAGAACGCTTGCCGCTGCTGACCAGTGCTGCGGTTCAGCTACTGCAGACAAGTCCGCTGGTGCTCCTGTTTGTTTTGCTTTGTGCTGTGCTTTTATCGCAGCTAGTCTCGAACCGTGGGAAGAAGTTCTGGCGCCGAAGCCTCCCGCAACAGCAGCAGCAACAGCAGCTCCACAGGGAGACAAGCCGAAATAGCACGAACTACTCCCACTTGCTGGGGCTTCTGCTGCAGCTGCTTCGGTGCTGCTTTCGCTGCTGCTGCTGGCCATTTCCATATTGTTATTGGCGGTGTGCTGCCACCACTATCCACGAATCGGTCTCTCGTTTCATTTTTACAGGCGCGTTCTTATAACTCAGATTTAGGGCATGGTGTGTGCTTCTTTGGCCGCACGTGAGGCACTGTTAGCGTCTATATATGCATTAGGTTACTGCCTAGACAGCTTTTATTTGAAAAGGCATCTCAAGAATATAAAGTTTATGACATATCATCTAGATTCAAAAGGTCTCTAGAGGTAAGAATGCTTGCTACGGCCAGCCACGGGCAGCGCCAACTTATCATTATTCGTTCCGGCGCTGCGGTTCAGGCCGAGGCTTTGAGGCCATATGCAGCTCAACTTGAGTATACTCCAACAAGCGAACTAGCCTGCAAGCTAGTTAGGTGTAGGCAGCCGGTAGTGTCTAATTTTCACTTTTTGGAGCAAACTAGGGCTCCGGAGTTCTTCCAAGTTAAAGCCTGAGTACTCGCATCTACGTGCTCCCAGGAAGACTTGCGGGAGCTTCCTCAGGTTTGCTTCAGCAGTGCACCAGCTTATCCGCAGCAGCAAGCGGCGCAACAGCAGCAGTGGCAGCAGCTTTACCAGATATGTTGTCCCATCGTCAGCTTGCTGCGCTTTCTGCCTCCGTCAAGGGCTACTGCAGGAGGCTTCACCAGCGGTTAGCCTAGTGCCGCTGCAAACTACTGCAAGCTGGCTCCCTAGAGTTGTAAGCTAGCTAAAAGGGTTCCTAGCAAGCAATCCTGTGGGTTGTCACTTCTACAAAGCCGCTGCGGATACTGGTGTTCTTGAGATCTTGCATATCTTAACATTTTTGGACAGGGATAGGGAGAACCCTTGGCGTTTCTCTTTCTCAGGTTAGCCCTGAGCACTATGACAGCAGGTCTATGGATAGCTCCAGCAGCGGTAACGACTGCTGCGCAGGCCGATGCTCAGTACTAAGGAATTTAGCGGCTCATAGGGCCCCTAAAGAGATCAAAGCAGCGGAGGGAGAGAGTGACGTCCTGGTACTGTCGCTGCAAAGCCCCAATCGCTGATCGCCATCAGCCTGGCTCATTCTGGTGCTAGTGCTGCTGGCGCAGCAGCAGCGGGACAGTTTGAACAGATCTGTGCAGCAAGTATCAATGGAAGGCGCAAGGCCACCTTTTTCATTCTGGGGCTGGCATTTCATGGACGTCTCCCAACGCGTCACTTGTTCGTCTTTCTATTGCAAATGCAAAATTATACATGCCGGCTGAGCACATACACGAAGCGGCGGCAGGAGCAACGTTTCATGCTAGAGGCCCGGTAGGAGCAGCTTTATGATCATGCCCCCTTTGTATCTGTCAGCGAGCGAGCACAGCAACAAACATGCAAACGGCCTAAAGAGCGGGCAACCAACCAAAATAAGTGAGCTGGCCAGCGCTTTTACCACCGTGTTATCCTGGGACACGAGGAAGGCACGAGCAGAGCATCTGTGCAAACAGTAATGCAGAGAGTTGATGGCTAGGTACAAATAGACACTGCCATATTTGGAGCATGTGTATTAACGAGAACTTACGATCTATTGCTCAGATTCTAGTGCGTGACGCTAAATTCCTTCTCTAGTTGCTGTGCGTTCCCGAAGGATGAAGAGCAATGCACCAGCCTATGCTATTGCTTCCGTGCATTATTTCGTGCCCGAGGCTTCTTTCTAAGTCCTGAATTCGCTGTAAGCTATGAGGCAATTGCGCAAGGCATTTTGAGCCTTACTTTAAGTATATTTCAGACTTTCTGAGCAAGTTCGATGTAAAATCTTCGGATTTGCTGCTATCGAAGAAGGGGCTGCGGCGGTCACCGGCGATGCTTGGGGCCTCAAACTGGATTCATCGGTTATTTTCCGTTCTATTTATCAAATCGAGCTATTCTTATCAATAATCTTTGTCTTCATTTATTTTTTTAACGTCTTCATATCTCTACTGTTCTCCCTATGAGCCAGCAGGCACCAGAAGCTCCAGGGCGGACGCCTGAGGCGCCGTGAGCACTGCGAGAGCCGCAGCTGGTGCCATCCAGTTGTCAATTCTCTTGCTCCACTTGAAACTTATACTCATTTTACACATTTATTTTTTGTACAGTTTCGAACATTAAATATAGTATATAGCGCACTGGATGGCTCTTGGCACCACAGGAGACAAAGATGGTCACTTTTGAGGGACCTCGGAGGCCCCACAGCCGCCTTGTTTGGATAATCTTCACAGTAAAAGCAGAGCTTCCCATTAAGCCACAATAACTTGACAAGTCTAAATTATTTATGTCAGCCGAATACATTTACTTTGAGTTGTTTTTTCCGTCTCCTGTGCTGTTCCATTAGGCCAAAATTCCCCGCGGAGGCGCAGAAACGCCTAATGTACACGAGAGCCAAAGCAGATAAAGCCCTCAAAGATGTCAAGAGCCAGCTTTCTCCAGAGGCGGTTTTGCTGCCTAATGGGGCTTCGGGGCCCCTCAGCGGCCTCCCAAAGGACCTGTGTGCACTTCCTGCAGGGGCACTCCAAGGACCAGCTCCAGGGCTCTCCCGTATAGGCAGTCGCTACCCTTCGGATACTCTTAGCTCTTCGTAGGAGCTAGTAGCTGGATAGATCATATTATAAACTAGGGACTGAGTACTTCTTTGTCTGCTTAAAGTTCAAAGTGACAGTCAGCCCTTTGTTGCTGAGCGGAAGCTGCGCATACACACTTTGCTTAAAGTTCAAAGTGACAGTCAGCTGCACATACACCGAGCATCTGGACGATCGACCGCAAAAGAATAAAAATAAATGCGGCTTAAAGCAGACAAAAACGACCGGCAGAACGGAGGGCAAGCGCTCAAACCAAGCACCGTAGAGCAGGTCTCAGAGAGTGATAAAAGAGTGAGAAGGTCTGTGCTGTGGCGTCTCAGGGCACTAACGACGCCTCAGATCTCCCTCACACCTTCTCATGTTGCTGCTACCGCAGCACCAGCCCTGACAGCACCACCGACAGCAGCAAAGGTGACCGAAGCTGCAGCTGCCGCTGCCGTTGCTGCCAGCCTCAGCTGCAACAATATATTCCCCTCCGTTTTCCCTGCGGCGGAGGGGAGTGACGACGTGCTGCTCCCCCAGCAGCAGCAACAGCAGCAGCAGGAGGACAGCTCCATTGGTGGCTTAGCCATATCTGCTGCTGCAGTAGCTACTCGAGCTCTCAACTGTAACGGGTCTCCTAAGGAGGCCACTATTGGAGTCCCCACACAGCCACTGCCTGTTGCTGCTAAACTCGTGGGGTCTCTGAAGGCTCCCACAGACTCTTTAGAGGTACTTGAACCCTTGCAGTCTTGGGGTCTCTCTACCGTTGGCTGTGGCGTGGCAGCAAAGATATCTAGGCTTTGTCAAGAGGAGCAGCAGCTTCTGCAGAAAGAACAACGGCAGGGTCATAGCCAGGACCAACAGCAACCGCAGCGGCAGCAGCAAGACCTTCGGGTCTTATCTGGTCTTTGGTATATGCATGGCCCCTCCGAGCTACAGAACATGGCCAAGGATACTCTATCGACAACACCAGCAGTAGACAGAGGGTCCACTGTTGCTGCTGCTGTTGTTTCTGCGTTTCCGGTCTCTTCGCCCCCGGCCGCCGTCCATATGGAGGGATATACAATGAGTTCCACAGCGAAAAATCTAACTAATTAAAACTGTGCCCGCAAAAGACCATTTAAGCAGCATGGTCAGCAGCAACAAGTTTACCAAACACCAGTTCGTGTATCCCTCGTGTTTCCTGCCTCCTATGAACAACATCTTTTACTAAAGGGCCCCCTTTGGGGCCTTTTAGGGTAGTAATGGGCATACAGGGGCCCTTTGATAGGTTGCTACATGCCTTCTTAGAATGCCTGAGGACAGCCTATGTCTCATGTCTTCCTTTTTAGGTGAGGTGCGTTTTCTTTTAAATCCCTCAGATGCCGACGGAAGGCGTGAGGGCTCAATGTGTGCAGCTGGGAACCTTGTGGGGGTTCCTTTGTGGCCCGTGGGGCTGAGAGGCCCGCTGGTCAAGGCTTGGGCCTTTGCATACAAGTGGACTGTTTGTGTGTGTTCCTTCACTGATACTCTTTTACTTGCTCATTCTCTCCATTTTTAGTTGAAAGAAAAGTGGGAAGGAGGAAACTATGCAGGTAGTTATGGCCAGTGTGTAATGCTGTCTTCAGTGTCTAGCCACCTCATTTTCAGGCGCGTCTTCTGCTGCAGTTGTCGATGCTGCGCCTTCGCATTTACTTCAGAGCATTGAGAGCCTGAGCAAACAGGAATTTTGAATGCTGCGTCCTTAAGCCCAGATCTGATAGGAGAACGAATATTCCCTTCTAAGATGACTAAACTGCCCCAGAGGGTACAGGCTGTCATGGCTTCAGGGTTGACACCCCTCTCTTTTCTTCAAACTTTAGGTTTTGGGGCCTGGGGCTATTTCCTATTGCTTTTGTCTACGCATACATCCTTAAGTGTTTGGGAGATCACGAATTGCTCTTCGTTCTCTTCTGTTTCTTCCCCCTTCATGCTTGTCACCCACGACAGAGAGTCGCGGTGACAGAGAGGCATCGCGACGCCCTCCACCACAGAACGCCACTGCAATGTGGGGGCCTAAAAAAGCACCAGATTCAGGTGTATGGACATTTACTTGCAAGCCATTGCATGTAGGCACCTATATGTATGCGCGTTTGTCATTCACATAACACAAGTGCATCAATCGTTGCGCAGGCACCTCATGTGACTCCGTTATAGCAATGGATTGATCGAAGGGAAAACTATACAGTACAGCAACAAAGATCAGAACTATAGCTTAGCGATTAGGGGTGGAGTGCTTGCGGCTAGTGCGCACTCTGGGGGGAAGCTCCCAGTCACGAATCGATCGATTTTGCCTGTCTTTTTCAAACCTAAACAGCAGCAGCAGTGTCACCAGCAGCAACGGCATCACCAGCAACAGCTGGACAAACAGGAGCATCAGTCACAGCAGTAATAGTAACAGCAAGAGGAACAAAGTAGCGTGTCTCTTCTTTATTTCCATGCTCATTAGAAGGGTCCGCAGAGAAAGCAGCAGCAGCGACAATACCATCACCAGCGGTACCAGGCTAACTGGAAGCACTAACAACCAGAACCCGACTACCAACATCAGCAGCAGCGCATTCAACAGCTGTGTGGACCTGACTTGTATCGTTTGCGTATCTCATCTGCAAGTGCTGCTTTATATTTCTCCCACCGCACAGACTGCTGATGGTGTCGCAACAAAGTGGAGTCCGAGGGCATCGCGCTGCTAGCCAGCCCGAAAGACAGCCGCAGGGGCTCTGTCAACGTCTGCACCAGCCAAAGCAGCCGCAGCAGCAGCGGCAGCAGAGGGAGAAGCAGGGGTAGGAGCAATCGAGAAACCGCGCGGAGTGAATCGGTGGAGGGAGCAGTGGCTAGAGGGTGGTTCGGGATAGCCGGAGCGATGCAATGCCAGCAGCACCAAGCACAACCGCATCACGGGCAACGGCTAGCTGCTACTGGCTCACAGAAAAGCCTTGTCAGAGCGAGTATAAAGCCCAAGCAATCTTTCAAATAACAGAAAATGATTCAATTGAGCGAAATACTACATGCCTAAGGCTTGTGCAGCGAAATTATAGGAGGAGTAAAAATAGGAAAAAGCAAGCATCGTTCGCATGTATGTACAGCACACCTTGAGAAATAGCCGTTTTTCTATGACGAATATCTGAGTAGAAACAGCAAAAACGAATTGAGGTCGCAGTGTCATGCAGCAGAAGCAGAAGAATCGACAGCAGCAGCGGCGGCAGAGGTAGTGACAGCACCGACAGCAACAGCAAGAGTAGCAGCAGCAGCAGAAACAGCAGACGCGGTAGCAGCCGCAGCAGCAACACTTTACCTGAGCTGCTGGAAAAGCAACAAGCGTGGCACTGTAAACGTTCCCTCGCTGCTGCACTGCAGCAGCTTTTTCGCCCTCCAGAATCTGCAGCAGTAGCAGCGACAGCAACTGTAGCACGGGCAGTAATGGTGCTTGAGGCAGCAGCTACTCTGGCAAAAATAGCGGCAGCATTGGCAGCAAAGGCACCAGCAACAGCAGGCCCAGCAGCACCAATAGAGGCAGCATAATTGAATTCATTCAGCAGCAGCAGTCGCAAAAGTATTGGCAGTGGCAGCAGCAATAGGAATACTACCGGCATTGGCAACAGCAACAGCGGCAGCACAGGCACCAGCCTCAACATCAGCCGGACTAGCATGCTCACAAAAAAATCCACAGTGGAAAAGAGCCGCACCAGTAGCAACAGCAACAGCAACAATGGTACGAGCAACAATCACAAAAATACCAGCAGCAGCAGCAGCAGCAGCAGCAGCAAAAGCAGGAGCAGCTGGTGCCTTGCCTCCCTTGCTCCATAGGTGGCGAGTTTTCCCAACGTCGCGACCTGCAAAACCAAATTCTTGGGGGACTCTCCTTGAGAGAGTTTGCTGCCTGCCACAAACCCCATACCCTAAACTCATTGCTCTGAACTCCAAGCCACAAGACTTGAAGACCTCGCCTTAGGCCGCATGCATGAGACACTTCACGCTAAACACTTGATTACAGGCCCGCAGATCAGAGAAGCTAATCCTATGCGCGTTACCCTAAACCCTTAAGCCTAAACTCTAAATTTTTTGCCAGCTTATTTTCCCCACTTTTAGACGCGCCTGTTTGCTTGCTGCGTCCGGCCCTGGTCGAAGCCTTGGTTTGCTGGCTTTCTGTCGCCTCCATTTTTGCCTTTTCCACAGTTTCCGTTATCGCATTCATCTTTAACCTGTTCGCCTTTGCCTTCAGGGCATTGAAGTTTATATTTCGCAGCACCAAGACAGACCCTCGCTGCACCAAAACCACTTGCGTGGCCTCTTGCCCTTGGCGAACAATCACCTTCGACACAAACCCTAGACACTAGAACCTGGCCTCTAGCGCCTTTCCCCTATTCAGAATCGCCTCAGCGTAGATTTTATAGTCTAAATTACACTTATTTTCAGGTTTTAGCGTTTAGAGTTAGAATCAGAAGCCCAGGGTGTAGGGTTTCGGCTCTAGGAGCAACGGAGTTCCATTTGCCTCTGGGCCGGAGTAGGTCTTCTCCACTAGCTGCTCTGCCAAGGCCTTGATGTCACTTGAGGGGCAGCCGACGAGGAAAGGGAGGCGCTGGAGGAATGAGACACTGGAATTAAGGGAGTGCGAACAGACAAATAAACAAGCGTTCAAGTAAGTGTCACCAAAAATAGGTATAAGTCGGACAGGCGGAGAAATTTCCAGGGGCAAAACGACGAGCTTGATAAATAGTGGCCCACAAGCCCCTACGTTCATCTTCACGTGTATCTATGCATGCATGCATGTATATATAATTAAAAGTGCGAAGAAAATGTTGTTCGGTGCCTCATTTACCCTTAACACAAGAACGGGCCCATTAAATGAATTACTCGTGGGGTGTGCTTCCTTACTTGCGGCGGAACACTTCTCTGTGTTTTTCCATTGCGTGCAGCTGGTAGTTCTCCCTATCTAAAGCTATACATAAAATAATGCCAGAAAAAGCGATTATGCTTGTTAACCCACTGGATGTCTCTCCAAGGGACTCCAGGGACTTTGCGCGCGAGGTACAGATTCCAATATACAAGCGCTTGGATTGAGCAGCTGACCAACCAGCAAACAGCTCGCAAATGACTAGTTGGCTTGCCAGTGAGCTAGCGTTGAGCTAGCTAGCCAAGCCTTGTCTTACACAGGGCTTCCGAGTTCTCAAGTGCTACAATAGTTGCCGATCTGGGCTGGTCCTCCAGCAGCGCCATCTCCCCAAATCCCGCGCCTGCCTCTAACGTGGCTATCTGCAGCATATGTACTTTTCCATTTTCGTTGCTACTAGCCGTGTCGTCACCATCATCACTACTATGCTCCTCGCTGTTGTCATTGTTCTCACTGCCGCTGTCGTTGCTGCTGCTGTTATTGCCAGGTTGCTTCACTGGCACCTGCACTGCTACCCTTCCCGTTAGGAGCAAGTAATACTTGTCTCCATAAGCACCGTAGCTGAAAACTTTTTCGTGAGACTTGAACTGCTCGTACTTCACGCATTTTGATAGGAGCAAAACGGTTGCTTCATCCAGCCGAGAAAAGAATACAACAGTAGACAGGGCGGCGCCCACAGCCTCGACCTCAGCCATCTGCAGCCAATGAAAAGAAGAAAATCATTTTAAATCCAGCAACTTGGTCACCCTTTGCAATTTTTGTGACATTGGTCGGCTCTGTGGCTGGTTTGTTGCGTAACTGGTTCTATTTGGTCGATTCATTCCTACATTCAATTGTTTTGCGTGTATTATGTGAGTTTAACTATCTAATCACTTAGCCAGTTGCTTATTAAGTTTCAGGGGGTCAAAGCGCATTGTAGTAACTTGAAAAACGTCAAGTAAGGCCGCCCACCGTTCGGTCTTCCGGGGCCTGAAGGTTAATATACACATTTCCACATCCTAGAAACCTAAATCATAGATCCTACATCCTAAAAGAGGTTTCTAACCGGGGAACATGAGAGGCGACGGAAAAATACATGCACATTAGGAGACAGGCAGGGGAGGACTGGAGGCAGGCGATCACCAAAGAATTGGAAAAACAGACCATGGAAAGCGAAGAGATAAAAAAGCTGTGAAGAGGGGGAGCGGCAGCAGCAGCAACGCAGAGAGGACAGGCTACTGCAGGCAATATAAATGCAATGACATGCAATTTATTCGCACAAGTATAAGGCTAGCTACGCACTTTTGCTGCCGCCTGTCGAACGGCCTCAAGTTGCAAAAACGATAGGGAGTTCATTTTCCGCCTAGACGTTGCTAAAGCCCTGGAGCTATTGGCGAATATAAAAAAAATTTACGAGCTAAATTAGCTGAAGTGGCTTTTAAGCGAATAACTAGGAAAAACAGGGAGCAAGTCGAGAGAAGTTAGCAAGACGACGTCTACAGAAGGCGGAGCAGTAAAGCCTCAGCCACGCGGCCCTAGAGCATAAACCGTAGGACCTAGGCGCTAGACTCAAGACAGTTTATTTGCGCTATTTTTAAAAAGAGCAATTGTGTGGAGCTTTGAAGAGAAAAAACAGAGCACTCAAAAACCGAAAAGCCCTGAGGAAGCATGCAGTCGCCACGCCGCTGGGCTTGCTTCATATATCAAGTTTACGCATTAAATATTAATTATTTATTTTAATTTTGCATTTCTAATTTGGTTTTCCTGTTTTTCCTGAACGAATAGTGCGGAGAAATAGAGCGCCTGGCTCGCCACCAACACCCCACGCCCAAAGTGACCTCGAGACCTCGAGTTCATCGGGATGCTCTGGGTATAGTGTTCAACCTTCAACTGTTTGCGAAATGAGGAAGACGGAGGAAAGATGCAAATTTATGAATAATATTTCAGGCTCCAGGCATCAGAGTATAAATCCCAAGACGTCATCGCAGTTGCAACTGCAGCCGAAGTACTTGAGAAGCTGTGCAGCCACGCCGCTGCATGTTACGTGTTCAAGGCGCAGTACTCTCAACGAACAGCTCAATGCATTGGCTTCGCATTTTTTCACAATGTAACGCAATGGTCAATGGCCATCTTTGGCGAGTTGAAACCAACGAGCTCTTACTCCGAGCTGAGGTGTCCCGACAACTCTCGCTGCTGCGCACACAATGCAATTAGCAGCAGCTGCGCAAGCAGCACCACAAGCAGGGGCAGCAGCAACTGCTGCAGCTGCCGCGAATGTTGCAGGGGCAGCGGAAGATGCTGCGGCAGCTAGCCAATATCTCCTGCCTGCTGTGGGCGTTGCTGCTGTTGTAGCAGTTTGACTTGCTGCAGCAACTGCTGCGCAGCAGCTGCTGTATTTCACTGATTCGGCTGTTCCTTTGTTTGTTCCCGTTGATTTAGCAGCTGTGCGTCCGCAACGGCAGCCGCTGGTGCCTTAGCAAATTACTCATTGCTGCAGCAGCTGCTGGTCTTTGGTATATCCGAGTTTGTAGGATACGGGTATGCGGCATTTAGGCCTCACAGAAAGGGATGGGCTTCTCAACTTTTTCTGTGCTGCATTGGGCTGCTTGCCCTTGCTACTGCGGTTGGTGTCGCTGCTATTGTCGGCAGCTGCACGTACAGTGACTCGACAGAGCCCTTCGGCCTCCGTGTGCCAACAAAAAGACTCAGGGCCGTCATTCTCGACGTTGGAGTGCGGCTGCTCTTGCTGCTGCTGTTGCTGCTGTTGCTGTACAGCCGAGGGTGGCGGGCTCTGAGCACCCGTACTGCTGGTGCAAGACGTTGCTGCTGGTGCTGCCTCATCTGTGCCTTCGTCTGTGTCTTCTTCATCTCGGGAATCTTGCGGCTCTGTCTTCGCTGCCTGCTGCTGTCGCTCTTGCCTCACTGCCTGCTGCTGCAGTCCTGTCTTCGCCTGCTGCTCTTGCTGCAACTCTGTTCTCACGGCCTGTTGCTGCTGCTCTATCCTTACTGCCTGCTGTTGATCCTGCTGTTGCTTATGCTGCATCTGCCGCTTCAGCAGTGCAGACTCCATTAACTTATATTGAATTTGCTGCAGCACTTGGGTCCTCTCGTGTGGCAGAAGTGGCAGCAGAATATCTGGCGAATGCTGTTGCTGCTGGATCTCCTGCTGCTCTTGCTGCTGCAGGTCTTGTAGCTCCTGTTGTTGCAAGTCCTGCTGCTCCTGATGCACCTGTTGCTGCTGCTGCTGCTGCTGAAGCATCTCCAAGTGTTGATCCTCATCCTGCAACTGTTGCTGCTTTTTATGGTCCTGCTGCGGATCCTGTTGCTGCTGCTGTTGCCCCTGATGCAGCTGCTGGCGGTGGTTCTGCTGCTGCTGGATTATATCCACACCAGCTACCACTTGCTGCTGCCACTGCTTCGTGTTCTGCTGCTGCTGCAGCTGCTGCTGCGAAAGCAGGTCCTTCTGCAGCAAAAGAACTTCTGTTCCCGTACCTTTGTTCACTTGTGACCAGCCGACGTTTAGTGCCGTTGTTTCTGCCGCACAGAAATTGCTGTTCGTACCCTGCTTCTGCTGCCTTTGCTGCCCCTCCTCCTGCCGCTCTTGTTGCTGCCGTTGCTGTTCCTCCAGGTGCCGCTGCCTATTGCTTGCGTCTCTGCTGCATAATGCGAATGTGCAGCCCTTCCAGCTGTAGTCGTCCGGGTAATTGCTACTACTACTACTGCTGCACCTGTTGCTGCTGCAGTTAAGACAAGCACAAGGCCATAGCAGCCCCTCATTCCACTGGAGTCCCGCTTGCTCTCGCTGCTGTTGTTCCACTTGCTGCTGCAGTTGCTGTTGCAGTTGTTGCTGTTGCTGCAGCTGTTGTTGCTGCTGCAGCACCAGCTGCTCCTGCTGCACGCCAAACTGCCACGTATCTGCTAGCATTTCGCTCGTAACGAAGCTTTGCTGTGGCTCGCCAGCGATGCTGCTTGTTCTAGCTGTCGCGTCAGCAGCAGCAACATGGTGCAGCAGTTCTAAGTGAACACCGAACTCAGGCGCATTAAAAGGCCGCAGCTGTTGCTGTACCTGTTCCCCCTGTTGCGTCAGTTGCAGTTGCTGTAGTTCTTGTTGCCGCCGGTGCTGTTGCTGTTGACCGCATTGTTGCTGCTCCTGTAGTTGCTGCTGTTGCAGCACATCCTGCTGGTGCGGTTGTTCGTGGAGCACATCGTGCTGTTGTTGCTGTCGTAGCTGCTGCTTCTGTTCGTGCTTTTGCAGCATTTGCAGAAGCAAATGTTGCAGCTCAGCTGGGTGCTGCTGTTGCTTCAGGCGACGGTAATGGGGAGGAGAACCCTTCCTGCTCCAGCACTCAGAACTCTGGCTCGTTTGCAGTTGCTGCTGCTGCAGTTGTTGCCTGCCAAGTGTCTGCGAACACCGGACAAGAGCCGATGGCCTCAGCACAAGTCCTATTGCGTCAGCAGCTGCATGAGCAGCCGTCATTTCATGCTGCTGCTGCTGCTGCTGCTGCTGCCGCTCCTGCTGTGAAGTGGGCTGCTGCTCATAAGAGTGCTGCTGTTGCTGATGCTGTATTTGCTGCTGCTGTGCGTAAAGCGCGTTGCGTAAGCTGGCGCCTGACTTCCTCTTGAATGCTTCGTTTGCGCTGTTGACAACCCGAGACGTCTGATTGCTTGCTTCAGCACTGGTTTTCGCTGAATTCGTTGCCGTTGCTTCGTTTTTTGCTGCTGCTGACCTCGTCGACCCTGTTGCTGCAGTTTGGAGCTTCACTAGGAGCTGGCTGCAGCGGTGCTTGTTTAGCTGCTGTTGCACTGCAGGGGCCGCAGGGGTTTGAGCGTACGTTGATGGGGTGTTGTCATTCGCCGCCTCCGCCGCAGCTGCTGCTGCGGTCGCCGCAGCTGCTGCTGTAGCCGCAGCTGCTGCGGCAGCAGCTGCTGCAGCAGCTGCTGTCGTGACTTTATACGCTGGCAGTGCATTTGCTGTGGCATCAGCAGTATATGATGTGCCTTCAGCAGCGGTTGCAGCAGCAGCTGGCCTTGCTTGCTTTGTTGCAGTTGGTGTTGCTGCGGCTGCAGAAAGCCCCGACGTGTCCTTGTCTTCTTGCTCTTGGGACTTCTTCAAGCTGCTGGTTCCCAGGTGGCCCACAGGCGGCGCATCTCGTAATGTCCGCGCTCGAGGTCCCGACTGCCGAGCAGGAGCAACAGCAGCAGCGGCAGCTCCAGGCCTCGATGCGCAGTTGGCAGTCGCCGCCTCAGCAGCAGTAGTTGGCGCTGCTGTAGAAGAGCCATGCAAGTAACGGCGAGGACGCGGTGCCGCTGCCATAGCAGCAGGCTCGCAGGGTGACAGCAGCATGTTGGCAACAGCAGCAGCTGCAGCGACGGCAGCAGCAGAAGCAACAACGGCAGGGGGCCCTAGTTCTATTCCGGATGTAGCCCTGAACGATGCCTCAGTGGTGCAAAGGTTCCCCCTTGGCGAACTAGGAGAATCATCAGGATCCTTTTCCGCGGTCTGAATTGGATCCCCTGAGTACCCCCAAATGCTTCCTTGGCCCAGTAGAGACTCCAAACGTGACAACTCAGAATCGTCGCGAGATACACGGGAGGGCCCCTGGGGCCGCCTGAGTTGTTGCCGACTGTGCGGTCGGCCCCGAGCGGTGGCCCCTGCACGGATATTTGCCTGAACTGCCGCTGGCGCTGCTATTTGCTTTTCGCAGGCGGCTGCTACTGTAGTCTTCCGCCTCTCACCTGCTGTTGCTTCTGTCGCTTTCCTTTCGCGTGTGGCTGCTGCTGCTGCTGCTGCTGTCGTTTCCTCACCTGCTGATGCTTCCGGTGGTGCATTTGTGGCACGATTTGGCTCTATTGCAGAAGCATGGCGCGATTCACTGATGTAGAGCCCACGGTGGTTCGGGGTAGCCTTCCTGAGGCCCCCGCTAACGCCTTCCTTTGTGGCTCCCGTGGAAACCATCGTGGGACCCTCATTGTGACGCCCCGACTTTGTCCCTCTTGTGAGGCTCGCTGCCTTTCTGTTACTCGTCAAAGCGATGCCTGGAGAGAAGGGCACCGACGTTTCATCCGTTGTTGCTGCTGGAAGCTGCTGCATGTCGGGAGACTTTGGCTCTCCAAGTTGCTGCAGCTGCTGCAGCTGCTGTAGCAACTGCTGCTCTTTCATCTGCATTTGGGGTCTCTTGTTTTGTTTTGGAATTTTTCTGCTCGATCGCGACAGCAGACGGCGAATTTGCTCCATTGGGCTGCTAACCAGTGGTCTGTCTGATTCGGCGCGTTGCTATACGTAAATGCCGGCTTCTGAACCGGAGACAGAACAGTTTGCAAGGTACAGATGCAAAAATTATTAAACTAACATGACAAAAGACAAATAAAGCGGCTTATTTCAATTTTACAACATTGAATTCAAGAGTTGAGCGACCACCCCCCAGTTCTGGCATGTCAAACGAAATGACCGAGAATGTAAAAAGTCTGCTGCGCTGTCCCAAGTTTAGGGCAGAGTAAATAGGAAACTTGACAGATTCATTTTTTCACTATGTTGACCCAAAAAAAGAGAAGACAACAGAGCTGTGAGTTGTGTTTGGCGGCCATGGGGCTGATTGACGGTCAGTGTAAATGACCGTTTACTTGCTTCTCCATTCACTTATACCTTTGAATCCAGTTTTCCTTGAAGGTTTCCTATTACTCCACGAGTTTTCCCTATTTCACAGTAGAATCTGCATTTTAGTTACCTTTGCTTTCATCCTGAGGCTTTGGGGAGGGCACTGAGTACCTATTGGAAGAAGAAACCACAACAATCGAATGACACAGATTAGCCGTCACCCCAGCCCCGCCCAGAAGAAGACGAACAACGAAAAAAAATAGAATGGCCGCCATCCAAGCCCAAATCCAGTGGCATACGCATGCATGTATTTGTTCACTCCAGTGCTAGGAGAATTTCAGCCGAGTAGAACAATAGGAGTGGTCAAAATAGTTTCGGTCACGCTTTAGAACCAGACAACGACACGCATACTTTAAGTGTTCTTCGGCTTCTCCTCCCAAGTGAGGGAACAAGAGGCTCGGCAGCTAAAATAAACAAGCAGCGAGCTTGGCACAATGGTGGATGAATTGATGTGCAGTTCGTTTAGCACTTTTCAACAATCCAAAGTTTGAAACTCTCGTGAAACCGTATAGAGTTTCCTGCTGGTTCAGTAACTGCTCGTCACTCATATAGTTGAATGGCAACTACAGGCTGCCCTCGAATGCCAACCAACGCTGTCCCCAACTCCAGTCAATTCAAGTCTGCCTTCACTGCTTAGCATGCCAAAATTAAATTCAGCGCCTAAGGGACTAATTGTCGAAATTGATAAACAAGCAGCTACTGGTGCGCTCCGGGCTTTCGTCCAAAAGGAAGGCTACACAATTTACTGAATCCAGTGTTGACTGCCAGTCTTCCGCCAAGCGTCCCGCAAAAAAAGCCAGCAACCAGCAAGCCAGTCAACTAGCAAGCTAGCCAGAACGCTGGCCAGCCATTTCGGCGTCCAGCCGGCATGATAGCCAGCTAGTCCACTAGCTATAACTTGAGCCCTTTATACTTTTGGTCAGCAGCATGGCTAGTCAGGTAGATAGCTGTAGAACTCGCTGGATAGCTCGCTGGTAGCAGAGCTTCTGCGACGTGTTTGTCGCATTGTGTCAATTGGCGTTGCTTCCTGCCAGGAATTTGCACGACGTCGGATTGTCTCTGTTGTTTTAAACAGACCAAAGGTGGAGAGAATGTAGACTGGCAGAAGCAGATATAGCCAGTTGACTACTATGCCTCCTCATCATCTGATGCGGTTCCCACTTTAGCCGCGATCGCCCTTAGGCTACTAATATCTGCTTTTTGTTCCAGTTTGGCGAGAACCTCTTGTACTGTGACCTCCATAACGCCAAACCTCTTTTCTATGTTACTGAACGACTTGACTGACGCCTCTGCTTGCGCAACAGATTCTTCTATGCGTTTGAGGCTGGCTTGCAGCTGCTGCTGGGCCTTGACTAGGTCAGCCATTTGCTGGCTAGCGCTCGAAGCTGTGTCCGCCACGCCTTGCAGCTTCGCCTCAGCTGCCTCCGTCTGGGACGCTATCTGTGTCACTGTTTCCTTTAGTTCGCCCGTTTCCTGCAGGGTCTTGTCCATTTCGAGTCTCATCTGCTTAACTTCAGCAACAGTGCGCTGCATGTCCTGCCGTAAGCCCGACAAGGAAATTGTCGTGCAGACGGGGGCCAATCGATACACATCGGCGCAGGGGCAACCTAAGAACACACACAACTGGTTCGCGCTTTACTGTTTACCCATTGGCACGCTGCGTCATCTTTTTCCTTTACAGTTTTAGCCCCTTAGTTCCGTAATGGAACCTTGTCGAGTATCTCTGACTGCCTGTATACCGAATGGATGGTTCGCTGGCTCATTAATTAACTCAGTTTGGTGTTTCGGCTGGCTGCATAGCTTCTGTAGGGTCGTTTTGTCCCCTACTCGTTTGCTATCAGAAGCATGCATACTTTCAAAATAGATCAGTTGGCAGATCTACTAGCAACGAAAAAGAAGAAGAAAGAGACAAGGACACAGGTACTAGCCTTACTATTGCGTCAAAATATGAAGAGCGATCTGCTCAGCAACAATCTCAGACAACGAGGGATGACATCAGCAGCCAGTTGCACCCATTATTTGATCAACTAACCTCTCTGGTCGGCCCCTCCAAATATAAAGATGGCTCTGCTAGATGGCAGCACCGTGAGCGAGCCCACATCCGTGTGAGAGCCCAAGTCCTTCGGATCCACGTCGCACTTGAACCAGCATTTCGCCAGGAAATCAAATACGAAGAAGTCTGCATGACAGAAATATCAGCGCCATGCTTCTTGCAAAAATTCGAGTAATATTACTACTTAGTATATGGCTCTTCACTTATCAACGTATCTGTCAAACTTGTACAGAAGATTTGCATCAATACAAAATATACAGTAATATATACAGTCTGAAGGACTCATAATGACAAATTCCAAATTCCCAACACACTGCGGCGTGGTTCACTTCGACAAGGTTTCGCACAGCACTCTAGAACCTAAAATTTTAACAAAAACCCCAAATTCTTATGAGCTACACTCTTTGATACATCCGGAAACTGACCAAAAGGCCCATGCTGAGCTGAACTAGGCTAGGAATTCGGAGTTTGGTGTGATTCACAGCTGGAATATAAAATTAGGGGCCAACGCTTACCAGACATGATATAGTTCCTAAACCATCCTGCGTACGTCCCTCCAATAATCCAAAGCCTGTTGTCAAAGAAAGCCGCTGCGTGTCTGCAGCGCCAAGGGGAAACAGGACAAATCCCTAAACTCTATATGCCAGAACTACGCCCTAAACCTTTTTCCTAACTTCTAAAGTCTGCCAAACCCAGCGGCTTCATAAACACAAGCATGCAGGACGATTTGCCACTGGATTTCAAAGCCTGTTGTTGGTTATTACCCTTCCCAGCTCGTGCCATCCTTGTCACGAGGTCTGGGGCAATTACTTTAGGGTTTAGGTTCTTACTTCCATCGAGGGCAGGGCGGTTCTCCCGCATATTCGTCTATTATATCCCAGCTGTCTTGGGCTATATCATAGAGCCACAAATCGTTCTCTCCCTTTCCTGTGCCGCTAATATCCCCACCAAAAACGGCAACGACAAATTTGTTAGACAGTTCACAGAGAGAGGCAGAATGGCCACAGCGGCCACAAGGAGCAAGCGTATCAGTTGCACTCTCGAGGGTGCGCCAGGAAGCTGAACACACACACGCCCACGCACGTGAACACAAGGCTTAGGGCACCGGAACTAAAGGTTAAGGTGAGTGCTTCAAAGGAGAGACGGCGAAGGTTCTACTGCAGAGAAGGTAAGCAAGTGAACGGATAAACGGGAAGGGTACAGAGACGAATGGATACAAACAATATAATTCAAAGCTGTTCAAATAACTGCACATCCTATTGGACAGGGAAGCAGAGAAAGGGGTGTCAACCGAAAATTGAAGAGCAAGCCCCTACCAAGCGGACACCGAAGAGACAAATGAATAAAAAGCCTTTGCTATGCCTTTCAAGGATATTGCAAGCAAGGGAACAACCAGACCGGGAAATGCACCAAAAAGCAAATAAAAACAACTGAACAAGCGCGCAAATATGAAACAGAGAGGAAAGAATTGTCCATAAGTAGGAAGAGGGCAAAATGCATGGGAAACGAAAAGGTTCAGGCCTGCTCACAAGCATGAATGTCTCAAACAACACAAATGCAAGTGGATGCAGGGGGAAGATAAGAGTAAATAAACAGCTATAAGTGAAAGGAAGACGAGGAGATGTTCAGTGAACGAGGCGATGACACATAAGTCGAGGCAAAGATGTTCAAAACCTTACATCCTTCAAGAATATGCGCGTCTTGAAGGACATTTCCTTCCGCCCCTTGTCCGCCAAAAACGAGGAGGGTCCCCTTCTGTTGGTGATAAACTGAAGCGTGCGAGTGCCTGGCGTCGGGCTTATTTTTGAAAGCCATTTCTTTCCACTGTCTAGAAGCCAGATCAAACATCCATGACTCAGACACTGCAACCTGAGACTCATCCATCCCCCCAAATAGTAACAGAGAGGGCTCAGATGTAGGACTCTGCCGCCACAGAGTCAAGCTCGCGCCGCGTCGGGGGCCAGGGCCAGATCCCTTAGTGTCTACTAATTCAAAGCTGAAAAAAAGAGCGGAAGAAAACGCCGAGGCGAAGACAAATAAAGAGAGAAAAAGGGAAGAATTGCACAAGCAAAAGGAGATGCGAAGAGAGTCAAGCCAGCGAAAAGGGCCACAAACAGTCAGAAGAGCAGAAACAAGGAACAGAGTGCGCTTTTCTTCACTTGTTTGGGTGTGTACTTTCGGCCTTGCACATTAGAAGGCATTCATAATGTAGCTTGCAACAGTTCTCTTAATATATTTAAGCTAGTGGTAGTTCCTATACACTCTACAGACGCTTTTTATTCATTGCCTTACTCATTGGTGTTCGGATCGAATCTAATCATATCATCTGATGATGTCTTCTCTTCGTTTTCCCCGCCAAATAGGTAAACTGAACCCTTGGCTTCCACCACACAGTGCCCTACGCGGGGAGTAAAGCACTGGCCGTCATGAACTATCTTAGAAATGAAGAAATCTGGCGGAGACAAAACGCCTGTGGCTTTGTCCAGAGACGGCTGGCTCTGAGGACCGCTGCCTGCACGGCGCCCAACTGGCTTTGAGGATTTCTTTTCTCCCTCATTCTCAGTCTTGCCGCCTTTGTCTTTGTCCTTATCTCCACTTACGTTGCTGCCAGCCTTCCTCAGGTCTTTGGCTCCGTCCTTATTATCCCCCTTCTTCAGGTCGGCACCCAATCCTTCTACGGAAGAAGAGGGCCCTAGTTTTGCTGCCGCTGCTGCTGCTGCGTTCTTCGTTGGGGGGAAAGGGACCTTTCCTGTCTTACCGCGGGCCAGGCCCCCTTTTGGAGGAGGAGGAGGAGGAGGCTTGTCGAAGTCCGACTCACTGAAGTCCGAAATGTCACTCATCGTCACACCGGCGGATCAGCGGAGTGAAACGGGAAATCGGGAGCGAATGGGAGATAAAAGAACCCAAAAAGACAAAAAGAAACTAAATGAACTGCCAGAGAAACGAAGCAAGGAAACAATCCGGAAATGAGAGATGCGAAGAAAACACGGAGAAAAGACCGTGAATCGAACCGGAGCGGAAGGACGGGAACGGAGAGCGCCCAGAAATAAGGAATTACCAGCAACTGGAAGGGGCAAAGAAGCTGCAGTCAAATATTTTCAGAGAAGCAGACTTTCCTATTCATTGATGCAGATCTTGCTCCCAGTTTTGCCGGAACTGCCGGCGTCAGGACGCGAATTATCCGCAGAGAGGAAAAGTTCTACGGAAGAAACTTCCTTTTCGCATTTAAATGCATGCAAAAAGATAAACAGAAGTAGATTTTGCCCTTTTCAGACGGAAAAAGCCAGGAGCTGGGAACAATGGCATACGAGCCATTCAACTGCACACGGACCACCGGCGCGCTGAGGCTCAAACGCGGTACTTGCCTGCCCTCCCAAAGAAAGTGCAAAACAGGCAAACATAAGATTAAAGCTTCGTTTTAATTCAATTTTCTAAAGCTGAATTAAACAAGCATCCAAGGCGAGGGGCGGTTTACGGCGAAAGCTTCAGCTCGCCCACTGCCCATCGATGCCGGAGGCGCAAGAAATTCAAGTTACTTTCTTCTCTTTTTGGCCAGTTATACCACCCAAACCAACGCCTTCCTCTAATAATATAAATAAACCAATTCAAACAGCCAGCACAAGACCACGCGTGACCCACAGTGGCCCGGCTAGTTGGAATCTGCACAGCGGCAGCAGATTTCGGCAATTTCGTTGTTTTGAGGTCCCCAAATCAGTTTTGCATGCAACTAACAGCCCCAATTAGTAAATGCGATTCCCGAAAAGTATATGTAATATATATGGGGGTGAATAGATGAAATAGGCAACGACAGTGAGGAGGGACGGCTGCAACGCCAATCGCACTACAGCATGTGTTCAACGGTTCTCTTCGCTACAAGTGCTCCCTAAGATGGCACCATTCCACTTCGGATATCTCTAATGCTGCCAGAGTGCGTATAAAATGGATATGCCTCTTAAATTAACGAGAACCAGCCCCGAAAGCCAGCATTGGGAGACTGAATGTGCTGGGTTTTTGGGCGATCTCTGATGCCCAGCTAGCGGAAGCAGCAAAGAGAAAGTGTGTGTGAATACTGGGGTGCCACGCTCAGCGGATTAGATTTTCTGTTTTAGGCCATTATACCATAATTAAATGCATAGTGTAAATAGGATGTGAGTAGCTGGTGGAGAAATTGGGGGGTTGACCAGTGGACGCATTCTACAGTGGAGCAGTTGCTGGAACTGTTTACGCAAAGTGAAATTGAATACATGTCTATTTGTATTATGAAAAGCCATTCCAACTTGGCAGCGAATTCATCGTATTACTTGGGCTGAATGTTTGCCTCTGATTCAATACTTTTACACTGCATCATAGTGAATTGCTTGTTGCCTATTTTCTGTGTTTTTCAACTGTGCCAACGTTTCGCTGCAGTGGGGCAGGTAGCACCAATAGTTTTCAGGAAGGCCTGAATTGGTTCCAAGCCGCTCTTTGGCCACTCTAGACTTCACCTTTACGTGAGCTTGACATTACAGGACCCTGTTGATCCCGTAGCTTATAACCCGTTCCTCTGATGGTTAAGTAAAGATGGCCTCCAGCAGAGACTTCCCATGAAGTCCCAATGCCAAATTTTTCACTGAAATGGGCCCAAAATAGCGTTGGGTTTGCGTAGACTTTGGTAACAAACAGTTGCGCGGTGCCCCCAGCACCCGCCTGAACAACGGGCGGCCTGCCTAGCGGAGTTGTCATGCATTTGCTTGTAGCTAGATGCCACATAATCGACATTCTAAAGCGCAGTTGCAGGTGAATTAGATGGCGAGCTGTCTCCCGATTCTGCGCCGTACCAAATTGCACAGTATTATGTGGCAGGGCCGGACCGGCTATTCTATTAGCCGGCAGTCTACAAATCTGTTCGTCTGTTGTTAAGACGCGGCAAACCAAGCTGCGTTCATTATCTTTGCCTCCTTAAACTCCACCTATCCTCTGCAATTTCGCTTCAACTGTGGTATCCAGCCTATCTGAAGGCTTGACGATAAAATGAGAAACAGCCAAGAAGCATACACGCTAACAACTATATAACGACATTTATGCGGATGCTGCATGCGTTTTCGTCACAGGGCTATCTCTGCCTACTGGTTTCTGCCTCTCCTAAGTCTGTGTACCTGCGCTGTTTCGGTTGTCGCTCATCTCCACTCAAATGTCACTAACCCAAAACACAATTCAGTACCCTCAAGAAACAAGGGAGGACCACAAAGCCCGGAACTGCAGGGGCAGCTGCAACGGAGGCAGCAGCAGCACAAGCAGCGGCAAGAGCGGCTGCTGCAGAAGAGGCAGCAGCAGCGCCTGCAGCAGCAGCAGACTGCTCATCAAACTTCGTTATCAACACCCTGTGCGTTCAGCGCAGCCTGCGGCTCCTGCAAGTGCTGCACCAACCGCTGCAGCCTTTGCTGCACCAACTAATGCTGCACCAACTAGTGCTGCAGCAATGCTGCGCCAACTAATGCTGCAGCAGCTTTGCTGCAACAGCAACTTCAACGGGTACCCCCGGGGGGCGGCTGAACACCTGGAGGAAGCTGAGATTGAGAATTAAGAACGGAAGGGTCAAAAGGCAAGCCCTTAAATGGAGAGCCCTCGGCGTCCCAAGCCTCTCGAAGAATTTTTTCTTGTTCAATTTCTTCAGGGGTTTTCAAGCCTGAAACCACAAATGTTGAACATTAAAAGCTGGCACTATGAGGCAGCACTGGCAGTAGAATGCTTAGCGTGGAACTGGCTCTGTCCTGTGTATATGCTTGCCTTTTGCTGCTGCGTTTTTTCTGGCAAGAGACAAATTATAAATTAAACTGATTCAGTTCACACTGGATACCTTGCATCTTCAGTCTTTGCTCAAACACGATCTTGCGGATGTGGCCTTGAGTCGCTTCGTCGAAATCTTCCACCCTTTTCACGGACTCTACCTAGAAGCGAAAGCAGCAAAAAAGTTGCAACAGTCATAAACGAATGCAACAGATATGAACAAATGCGGTAATGGCCACAGATATGGGTGAAAGCGAATACAGCCAGCAGAAGATGGAAATAGAAAGAGCAAAAACAGTTGCACGCAGACACAAGTGAATGCAATAAATATGGACAAGTGCAATTGTGATCACAGACATCGGTAAGAGTCAACAAAAGCAGCAAAAGATAGAGATTCGAATAGGGATACAGATCAGCTACGAGCAGACAGCCTCAACGTCCGCTTGCTATATGTCACTGGTCTTGTGCTGCTCTTTTAGCTAAAACCCAAAGACCTGGCCTTTAACCCCAAAAACTTCGAGAAAACAATCCGTATACCCTAGGCCTGGCCCTTCAAACCCTAGACAACGAAATGAAGGCCCAAAGCCCAGGAACTATGCCTCATTTCTTACTTTCGTAGTGTCTATTTTCGGGTCTCCTTCGATCACAGATTCCCACCAGAGCTCTTTCTTTTTGTCCAGAGTCAGCAGCAAAAAGGCCTTCTGCTCCAACACCCAGAAGCTCTCAGAAGATTGAATGGGGTGGCTAAACTTGCCTTCAAAGACACTTCGGCCTGAAAGAACATACCAGCTTACTTGAGAAAATAAGTAAAGGATGAGGAGAGAAAAGTAATAAAAAGCCGTTCCAGGTTTCGAAATGACTTCTGCTAAGGCTGATGCTTTCTCAAGGGCCAAAAGACGAAGTGGGGAAAAATTCAAATTCATAGACTTGAGCTAACGAGCTGCAAACAGCCGTTTCAAAATCGAGATCCTCACATGCCTGCAGCATTTAATCGCGGGAGAAATATTCAGAATAAGAAACATACCCTCATAAGTCACTCGGATAGAGTCATCCCGCAGTGAGACAGAGAGTAACTTGGCGTTGACCTCAGTTATATCTTGCTGCTGCTGCTGTTGCTGCTGCTGCTGCTGCAGCAGCTCAAGCAAGCGAATCTGGCATGTGACTTCATTTATACTTTGGGACCAAACATATCGGTCGAGGATGGCTCCGTTCCACGGGTTTATAAAGGCTGTCTTCTGTGACCCTACCGCTGAAGCTTTGCTGCTGCTGCTGCTGTTGCTGCTGCTGCTGTTTTGCTCTGAAGGCCTGCTTTTGTGGCCTGCAGAACTTTGTGTTGCGCTGGCTGCTGCTTTACCTGAATCGCCTGGGTGCGACGCAGCAGCAGCAGCAGCAGCAGCAGCAGCAGGAGCGTCTGTTTCCATTTCATTTCCCTTCGTCGACTTCCGGGCCTCTTTGGGGGGCGGCTCCGGAGCAGCTGCTGCTTCCTTCGGCGCTCTCCGTGCAGAGCCAGGCGCTGCGGGAGTCTTTGCTGCTTCTGCTGCTGTCTTTGCTGCTGCTGCTGCCTTTGCTGCTGCTGAGGGTGTTGACTTCGCCGCAGGGGTCGGAGTCCCGAGCTCCTCGGAGAACTGGAGGCTCGGGGGCTCCCCGAGCACAGCCAGTCTGCAGACTGGGCTGGCGAACTGCATTTGTTTGTGTTTAAGCTTGAAGTTGAAGTCTCTGGTGATTGCCCTGAAGTCCTTCATGCTTTTGTTCCGCAGCTTCGGAGGCAGCAAGTGGGGCTGCTTGGCGGCCATGTAGGAAAGCTGGGCAACGCCAAAGGACTCCGCCACCATGGCCTCTGCTGCTGCAGGCGCAAAGCCCATGGAGGGGCCCCCAGGCTCTAAGATGTGGAAAAAGTCAGTGCGGCTGGCGAGGAAGGAGAAGAAAGTGTCCAGCAGCGGGCCAATGCCGTCGTGGCCCCGAGCAAGCGCCAGCAGCAGCCCCTCGTGGTCCATTTTTAAAAAGAAAATATCAAATTTCCTGGCGCTGCATGCGAATTCGACTAAGTGGCTGGGCGAGCGGAAGTCCGCCACGCAGCGCAGCAGCAAGACAGACAGACAGCAGGCGATTCCGCAGCTGGGGACTCCACACGTCTTGAAGTGGCCTCCAGATCTACGACTTTTGGAAGCAACTAATCAACAAAACATTTAATTTTACTTTTCAAAGTTCAAACAATGGCAAGCCGCTAAGGTCACTTGCAAGGCAGCTGCAGACAGTTCGGCGGCAGCGGCCCCGCATGCAAGCCAACAAGTACGGGAAATGGGTAATGTTCTCCGCCTGAGTATCTTTCAGCCTGGTTTTCTCATCGTTTTGCTTCTTGCTGCAGCTGTTTTAAGCTGTTAATTTCATTAACAGCCTCAGCAGGGAGCCAGGCGCGAACGGAAACTCGACCTTGGGGAAGGAAGCAGCTGGCAACCCCTTGTCGTGAGGCTTCACTCCCTAGTCCGTCTCGAGTCTCGCAGGAAGGGGGAAAAGGCTGTAGCTGTGAGGCGGCGAGAGCAGCGGGCGGCGTCTTGAACTTGAACTGAAGTTGAAGAGCGCAGCGGGCGCGCGCGAGTCTTTAGAGTGGGAGAGGAAAATGAAATCTGAATTCATCGCACTCACCCGCGAGGGCCTCGAGCTGCACAACGCGGCGCTCGACGAGGCAGGGGCCTTCACAGTAGAGAAACTCCGAAGCATAGAAGGCGTGGAGTCGGCCGAGTGGTCCCCACAGGGTGATCTGGTGAGTTCGAATTGAACCACGAGAAGCGAGAAGGCCAGGCACATGCCTGGGGCCCCCTCCAAACAAAATTTAATTTTAAAAATAAAATTTATATTATTAATTGCCTCGGTACCCCGAAGCGCCGGGCTGTCTATCCACATGGTTTCTGATTTCTTTCTCAACTGCAGGTCGCCATCGTGCGGAATTCTTCGCGCGAAAAAGTTGAAATCTTGGATGCCACCACTTGGGAAGTTCGCTACGCAGTTGAGGGCCGTAAGTGCTTCTGCTGCACTTGCCTGGCGGTCTCTTTTCCGCCAAGTCTAGTGCCTTTTGTCTTGTGTTTAGTGCCTTCATTTGCGCAGCAGCAGCTTGATTAGTGTTTCCACTTGCGCAGCAGCAGCAGCAGCTTGATTAGTGTTTTCACTTGCACAGCAGCAGCAGCAGCTTGATTAGTGTTTTCACTTGCACAGCAGCAGCAGCAGCTTGATGATTGCTTCGCTTTCACAACAGAAGGAGCCGCATCAACTTGATGAGTGTTTTCGCATGCACAGCAGCAGCAGCAGCAGCAGCTAGGTTGCTGCTTTCGCTTGTAGAGCAGCAGCAGCAGCTTGATTAGTGCTTTCGCTTGTAGAGCAGCAGCAGCAGCAGCTAGGTTGGTGCTTTCGCTTGTAGAGCAGCAGCAGCAGCAGCAGCAGCTTGCCACCAGCTTTGTGCTGCAGTGCGCCACTTGTTGAACATGCGTTTCGCGCTGCCTGCAGCAACTCCCGTGTCCAAGTTTTCGTTCAGCCCCCTCGGGCGCTATTTGCTTATTTGTTTTCGCTTTGAGCCGACACAATGTCCAGAAAATCTGAGACTTATAGAAGTCCACAGTGCCAAAGAAGTGACGCGTGTGGCCCAGCGGGGCGTCGGCGAGCTCTCGTGGCCTCCGCTGCGGTTCACTGGGGGCGAAAGCTTCGCATGTCGTTTGGTAAGCAAGATCTTTTGGGGGGAATCTGTTGGATTTCCGCACTTTTTGCAACTTTTCAAAGACATTTTTTCGTTTTTTAATGCCTGCTCATGTATTAATGCGTTTCTGAATGTATCTGCTGCTGCAATCTGTCATGAAGACCGAAAACGGCATTCGCAAACGTAACTTAAGACGAGTTCAGCGCCTGCTTCTGGGGGTGGGGTTGTTGTGCTTATGAATGCGAACTTAAGCGTGGAACTTCAGCCTCCCAGCGTGGTCTGAAGACGCATGGGGGCACTGAATAAGTTTTGAAAGGCTAAAATATCATTTTTTCCTTTTTGTTTTGTCGTTTGTCTTCTTTTCAGGTCAAGGGCGCTGTTCACGTTTTCAGCCGCGAGCAGCTCGAGTCCGGCAGCTTCAGCATCAACTCGCCTCTCCACCGCATCAGTTCCCCACGCGCCTCCGCCATATTTGCCAGCCCAGAGCGCCCCCCTTCTGCTGCTAAAGACGAAAACAGCAGCAGCAGCAGCAGCAGCGGCAACAGCAGCGCGTACTGCGCTGTGTTTTCGAAGGAAACCAAAGGGGAGAGCGCCCTGTTGGAGGTGTACGAGCTCGGGCAAGAAGTGAAATGCGTCGCCAAGAAGTCCTTTTTCCAGGCGCAAGAGGCAGAGTGCCACTGGGCCTACGACGGCCGCGCGCTGCTGCTGAAGACGCACACAGACGCCAGCGACTTGACTTACTACGGGTCTAGTGCTCTTTACTTCCTGCGGGTGAGCTGCTAGTCGAGCGGTGAACTGCAATGTAGGAAGCATCAGCAGATACAGAAAATAACGGAAATAATTAGTGCAGTTTGGTACTCGCACCTGGCTGTTTCTTTGCTCTTTCTGGCTTCAGCTCGAACAGGCAAGACAAGCGGCTGTTGTATTCATTTGCTTTTCCTACTCTTGTTGCAAGCACATATTCATTCATTGCTTCTTTGTTTGTCTATCTCTGTGTGTGTGCCATTCGTTGTTTGTGTTCTTGCCTCCCCCTCATTGATGGTTTTGTGTGTAGGCAGCAACGACAGCCAACTGACCCTCTTTGTCGTTCCTTTCATTGAAGTTATTTCTCTTACTTTGTTTCTCGTGCTCTTTTTGCAGTGCCAGGGAGGATACGATATGCGCATTGTCGCCGCTGATGAGGGCCCTGTCCACGCCGCCGTGTGGAGCCCTTCCACAATTGAGTTTGCTGTTTGTTACGGCAAAGTGCCAGCCACGGTAAGTGTCTTTTTGTTGCTGTAGAGCCTAAACTTTTGTCTGTTTGTGTTCGTTCATTTTGCTTCTTCGTTTCGGCCCTTTCGATTCACTTAGGCTTCTTGATCTGCCCTTACTGCATGCCGGCTTTTACAAGTCATCAGTGTTTCTGTGTGGCGTTCAACGCGAAAAATTGATCAATATCATGAATGGGCATGTTTATAAAACCCATTTATTTACACGCATATCCATACGTATATGTGATTTTACATTTGTCTCAGCCCGCAGCTTAACATTAATCAATGTGCTTTCTGCCTCTGCACAGTTAACGGCCTCCTTTGAACCCCCGACTGTTTCCCATTTCAGTCAGTTTCAACCAATTAGTTTAAATATAAGTAAATAGACAAGTGGCAACGGCATCAATTTTCTGCTGCAGGTCGCGGTCTACGATGGCAACAGCAAAGTGACCTCACCCAAGTTCCGCATGGGCGAAGGCATGCGCACTTCTCTTTTGTTTTGCCCCTTTGCCAAATTGATGCTGTGGGGCGGATTTGGCAATTTGGCAGGGGAGGTTGAGGTCTGGACTCTCAGAAAGAAGGGCATAGTAGGGAAGACAGTGGTAAGATATACTGGGATTTCGGCTGCTTGGGTTTTAACAGCCTCTCTGATTCTGAATCTCGTTTACAGGGTTTTTGCTTCTCTCTGCGTCATTTTTAAGAGAGTCCAGCTTGTGTCTTTTGAGCTCAAGAAGTGTGGATTTAGAGCTTAAATTAGCTGAAAATAGGGGGGGAAAGGACACTGCGGGAAGTGCATATTTGTCTAAAAGAGACAAATACGGGGAATTTGCTCAAAGAATCACAAATAGCAAGGAAAAGGGCATTAAATGGTGCATTTAGTTGTACATTTAGGTGATGTAGAGAAGGAGATGACGTGCTTGTGAGACGTAGTAAAGATATGGTTGAGAGACTCGTAAAGTGACATTCTGCAATATTAAAGGAAGATAGAGGAGGAATACATTGAGGGGGGAACTAAGCATTTTGCAACAGGCCAACGACAGGAGGTGATGGGATAAGGGCAACAAGTGTGGAAAGTAAATCAGTTTGTTGAGGCCCAAGTGTCCTACATTTCTTTAGTGCGAAGATAGATGTGACGTAGTTCCTGAGTCTGCGCCTTTTCATATAAATATGCATTGTGCTCAACTAAATAAATATGATACAAAGATGCTGGCCCTTTCGAAAATATGCAACCATTACAGATTGGATGCCATGTTGGACTGAGGCTCTAGCCAACATGCCAGCAATCATCTGTTTTTAAGTTGTGCTCGTGTTTGTTCTTTTTCTTTTTAGTCCCCCTCAGCCACTTGTCAGTGGGCATCTTGCGGTTGTTTTTTCATCACAGCAAATATATCGCCGCGCCTGCGTGTTGACAACAGAATAAATGTGAGTTTTGGGTCTCATTTCAATGGCTGTCCCGCTAATTTATTAATTTGCTTATCAGATTTTTCTAGTTAGCCTTCAGATTCGCTAGATATCGCGCCTTGCCTTCCCGATAGGTATGGCATTTCTGGTGTAGCTGTTTCAGCTATGCCGCCAACGCCTGGTGCTTCGTCTTGTGTCCACTCTATATTTCATTTCTATTCAAGTGGTGTCAAACTTATTTAACTTTCATTATGCGGCATTTGCCTTTTGTTTCAGTTCTTCAGTCTGTCAGGCGGCCTTCTCAAGCGAGTTGAATTCCCGTGCCTGTACAGCGTGCAGTTCCGCCCCTTGAGCGCTGCTGCTGCTGCTGCTGCTGCTGAAGCACAAAAGGCAATAATTGACTCTCTCAAGGTCTACCAACCTGGGGAGGCCCCGCTGGCTCCAGGCGCAGAGGGAGCCACAAAAATAGGCAACCTGACCTCAACCGGAAGGTCCCTTAGTTCTCTTACTCAAAGCAGATCAGTGAGTGCCTGCTGCTGCTGCTGCTCTTGTTGCTGCTGTATGTGGCAGTTCTGCTGCAGCTTCCGTTTGTCATTTTTTGTGTTTTGTGCTGCTGCTTCTGCTGCTGCTATTGTTGATATTTCTTTTGTTTTTGCCTTGATTCTGCTGTCATTTTTTGTGTGGAAACGGGTCATAATAATAGTATTTTCATTGCTTCCTTTGGATAGCATGCTAGTAGCGGGGTTAGCTGATAGAAGTCGTGTTGAAAATGAATATGAACTCTGGTCCGATTACTCCAGTAGATCAAACAGACATTTAAATTAGGCGCAAGGGTACAATTTCCCAGATAGCCTGCTCTGTGTCTATCTTTTTTTGCCTGCATCTTCCCTGATTTGTTCGTCAGGGTGTGCCCTCGGTTGGCGCTTATAAGCCGCCAGCCGCGCGCAACGCCACGCCGCGTCTGCCTCCAGGGGCTGCTGAGGCTCCTGCTGCTTCGAATTCTCCTTCGAAGAGTGCAAGAAAGAGGCAAAACCGGAAAAACAAACAGGAAGGAGCGGCCCAGGCAGAGGCTGCAGCTGAGGCTGGCCAGGACAAGAGCGCGGAAGAAAAGGGCAGCGGAGCAGCCGAAAAGGACAAAAGGACAGAAACTGACAAAGAACAAAATGCAAAACAAACAACACCTGCGGCGAACGCCACTTCAGACACCAATGGAAGCCCACAAGGCGAAGACGAAGTAAACAATAACAGCTTGATTGTGCAAAAAAGCTTAAACCGCACATAATTTTGTGTTGACGAATAAAAGTGATTTGTAAAATGCATTTAATAAGACATCTAGTTGCTCAAAAGCGCATTATGCACAGAAGATCAGGATTGTTTTTACGCTCAGGCGAATGACCTGCGGAAGGCGATTCGAGCAGTGAAGAAGAAGTTGACAGAAATTGAGCGCCTTAAGGTAAAATCTCAGTCATTATTATTAATTTAAATATTATTAAAGCTGATCTTTACTGTAGTGGCAATTTCAACATCTATTCTTGAACTACTGAAGTTCCCTGTACTTTCTGCTTTCAGGGGAGGAGCGATTTGAATGAAATGCAGCAAGTCAAAGTCAGCAACGAGCAGAAGCTCAAAGAGGAGCTAGCAGAGCTTGAAAAGCAGTTCAAGTCAATCAATTGACAATAAGTTGTTCAGTGTAACTGGAAAACAATTGAGCTAATTCAATTGGTGACGTTAGTCAGCACAGAGAGTCACTGTTTCCATCTGCAGTCAGATCTGCCGTGGAATGCCATTTTCCTGTACCTATGGCCCACTACTAAGTTTCGCCTTTCGTGATTCTTTTTCGCGGATTTATCCTTTCCAGACAAACGCGCAAACTGGAACGCGAATCTGAGATGAGTGCCTCTGTAACTTTCGACTACCAATCGCGTTTCTCGTTACTTGACTTGTTCGCAGACACTTTAACAGCCCAAACTAAATAGCTGTTGGGACACGGTGATTCACATCTCAGGTCTGTTGATGCGTTCCCCGTGTCTCCATGAACTCCTTGACGCAAGCGCGGGTCACCCCGGTAGGCAGTACAATGTTAAACTCTGCATTTTCCAGAGCGTAGAAGTACTTATTATCAATTGAAAGAAAAACAATAGGTCTGATATAGTGATTTGGGACAGTGGATTTGTCGCCAGCAGATGGTGTACTCCTCGCCACCTACATGTGCATGTGATCATCAGGTCCGCGGGAACCCGCTTCCTGGGGTTGCTCTGCTATTTGTTTACCAAGTCCCTATATTTACAATAAAAATAAAATAAGTACAGCACAATTAATGGGACAAGTGCAGCTTTGATTCCTGTGATTCTGTTTTTCTGCTGTTGTGCTGTTGGGGCCCCAGTACAGCGAGAGGAAGGGGCCCCAATTGCTCGTCTTGCCGTTCACTTCCAAATAGAACAGAAGTAATTGGTAGTCACGAAATAAATTTTGGAATAAATTGAAGCGATTCAATTAAAAAACGAAAAAACGGAAATCTGCGGGGCGTTTAAGTGTGTGTGGCTGCTGCTGCGCGTCCGCTGCGTCGTTTTCTCCTCTTTTACTCCACTTCTTTCTGAAATTCACATTTTTTCGTTTTTACATTTACACTGTTGAGGAAGAAAGCCTATTTTTTCGCCCTGATCCGCTCGCTCTCCCTGGAGGGTGACCGCTTCGTTGCTGTTGCTGGTACTGGTCAGTCATACGTGGACCCATAGTTTGGGTTTAAGGTTTCCTTGGTTCTCTTTGCCTTCATTTTTTGTTCAAATTTTCGCTTATCGCGTCGTATATAATTGTCTAACTTTGCCCTTTCGTCGTTAAGCGCTGCGGGCTCTCTGTGTGTTTGCAAGTGCGCGCAGCACAGGCAGCTTTGCACTGAAGAGGAAAGCAGCAAGCATTTAGGCCGCTTCCCCGTGGAAAACTTAATAATTAACTGAGGAAGAGAATCCTAAATAAGGAGGCGAGTCAACTTCGCAGTTCAAGATGTCTAGCCCCGCAACATCGAAGAACCTGTGCAGCAGGTGCCACTCGTACTTCGACGAAAAAGACGAAAGCGACAAGTGCGTGTTTCACCCGAAGACTTTCGTCTGCCGCTACCACCCAGAAGGCGACAAGTACTACGCAGCCGTGGAGTTGAACGCTTCGCACAAGGGCTGGCACGGCTACTGCTGGTGAGTCCAGTTAAGGGAACTTGGTCCAATTCATTGAAAGAACTCCGTCAAATTTAGTCCAATTTATTGAATTTCGTGTTCAGAAAGAGGCACTGAAGCGCGAAGTGCTCAAGGATGTGAACAGTTCACAAATAGGCAATGAGAATGTGAACTCTTCTTCCTCTTCACGGGTGTTCTCTGCATCATCTGTGAAACTTTAGTAGCAAAACACCTTAAAATGAAGCTCAGCCTCTCACTCAACCTCTTCAGACAACTAATATCTTTTGCAATTACGCTATTTCGCAGGGAGTGCTGCGGAAGCGAAGACAAAGATGCCCCCGGATGCGCATCCGGCCCCCACACAAAATACTGAAAACTGAAAACATGTCTATTTCTCCACGTGATCCCGCAACAACGCTGCAACTTTCAACTGTATAGACTCCTCAGTAACCTGCAATTACTCTAGCCCGTATACTAGAGAGCTTCCCGCTAGTTCCACTGAAAAGAACTAGAGAGCTTCCCCTAAGTTCCACAATCATAAAACGAGTTCCAGCAGCAGCACCACTCTACTGACACCTGACACTTGGCTGCATATTCCATGACATTTCCCGCAGACTTCCGGAACAAAATGTCGAATGTCTTTACAGGAACAAAGAAGAGGAACTTAGAATACCGCAAAGTCCAGAGTAGTGGGCAAACCCAGCACACCAACCACTAAACATCGACAAAAACCCAACACAAGATGCCTAGAGAGACCTAAATAGCTCGCACAAACCGGTTAATATCCCAGAAACGGAGTAAAAACCAAAAGATCACAAAAAAAAACATGAATTGGAATTGTTAACCCCGAAGGGTTGGAGGGTGCGCCACTCACGACGAAAGTGTAAGGAAGAGGCGACGCATGGAGAGGGTCCGAGCAAGCTCTAAACCACAACTCCCCCAAGCAAAAATTGATGTGACATTGTTGGATCCAGTTGGATCCATATCAGTTGTCACACTGATAAGAACAGATACTACACTTGATCATAGCCAAAAGGCCGAGAAGGTATGCTTATAGGGGTTCGCCGGGGGCCCCACCCTGTGCGGGGCTGAACAGCGCATGGGCGAGCCGAGACAGAACGGCCCAACGCGCTTCTTTCGCCCAGGATTAATTTCAATTTCCGAAATAGTTTAATTATTTCAACAAATTTTAAACATTTCGCAGTAAAATGCGTCGTTTTCGCGTTTTTTCACGCGTTTGCAGCTGCAGCAGCGATCATCCCGGTAGCTCCCAAGTACAGGGTCTTGCTGAGGAGCTCCGGTGTCGCCAGGGGCGAACTTGCGAATAAATAGAGTTTGTTAGACTATTAGAAAGCTAAAAAGTATTATTTATTTCAAATTAAGTTCAACTTTAGCGTTTTTTCCCTTTTTTCAGCCCCCCTATTTCCAGATCGGACTCGACTGCGCCGCCGCTAGGCAGCCGCGGGAAACCAGCCAGCGACTGAGTTTCCTTCAAGCCGCTGCTGCTGCTGCTGCTGCTGCGGTGTCTATTCTTTTTGAAACTGAAATTTCGAAAGTTAATTTCTTTTTGCTTTTCACTGAGGCCAAAGACACTCCAGTTGCCTTGCTTTCCCGCAGCTGCCTCCCCCCGACTCCTCGCTGGCGCTGTGGCCGACAATGAGCCTCTAGCACTTCCTCTTCGCATTTGCTGCTTCCCAGCAGCAGCTCGCACTCAACTTTGTTGCTGCAGATGAGCTTCTGCAGTTGTTTGCTGCTCGACTCGCCGTGTAGCTGCGAGACCTGAGTCGTGTCGCCGCCGCTGCTGCTGCTGCTGCTGCTGCTGCTGCTGCTGCTGTTCTTCCGCTGCAGCGCAGCAGCCCAACCCCAGTTCCCCGCGCCCCCCCAAAATGGCCCCAGGAAGGGCCGCCTTCGCCGAGGATGAGAGCTTCCGGCGGACTCGGAAGCTGTCGAACGCTGCGCTGCTGCAGCGGCTGCGCAGGCGAGCAGTTGTATGGGCTTTGCTGTTTTTGCTGAGTGTCTGCATTTACAACGCGCTGGCCCTAATTGGCTTTTTCGGACTTCTCCCAGCCATTGGGGGCTCTCAGAAAGGCGCAGATCGCGCGGCGCTCGCCAAGTTCATGCAAAACGCCCTTTCCGGAGTCGCGCTGCCGCTGGTGCCAAGTGCCGATCTTTTCGACCAACACGCCGTCATTTTGGGCCCTTACGGTGATTTTAATGAATTAAAATGCATTTAATTGTCAAAAAACCCTTCAATTCAACTTTTCAAGTCCAGTTTCCGCCGCTTTCCCGCAGCTTTCCCTCGCGAATGCGCCTTTTCGCGCCGCCCTCTTCGGGTGTCTGTACACCTCAAACTCCACACTCCGGTCTGCTGCAGGGCCCGTTCGAGCGCCCTTCACCAGAAATATGGATTTGCTGATGCGGCGGCTGACGCAAGATGTTTGGCTGGACAGAACTCCGAAGGAAACCAGCAACGATTTCTCAATTATCATCAGCGCTAGAAACGAAGAGGCAAGCAAGCCCACTAGTTAGCATTTTGACTGGTGCAGCCTTTGCCCAGCACGGTGGTTTGGGGTTTAGGGTTTAGGGTTTAGGGTTTAGGGTTTGTGTTTCTGCTTTGACTCATGCATAGCAGTCGGGTGTACTGACACTTTTGTTTGTTGGCAAGCTGCGACTTGCTGCAGAGCTCTTTGCATTCATTTTGTTCTTTTTTGTTTCTTTCAAGACTTATTTATTGATTAGTTTTGCATTTCTTTTTCTGTTTTCAGAAATATCTGGTCAAGACTTTGGAGTTTCTCTTCAAGAACACGGACTACAAAGCCATCCGCGAGGTGATTATTGTGGACGACGCAAGTGCCAAACAAGTCAAAGAAGTTTTGGCAGAGGCCCAGCTGCCCTCCAGCATTTCAGATAAAGTTAAAGTGATCAGATTTGGTGAGAAATGCAAAACGCAAAAAGCGCGGCAGTCAGCTTCCCCAGTTGCTGCGCTGTACGTACACCTGAAATTAGCTGGCGCACGCAGTGACGCACACAAACAACGAAAGCCAGTTACTCATGCACACATGCATGTATACATATTTATTTATTTGTTTATTTATTTATTTATTTATTTATTTATTTATTTATTGTTTATTGTTTATTTAATTGCCTACACTATATGTAAATGCGCAAAGTCAGATAACTTAAAACTGTCGAGCAAATTCAGCAGCAAAGAGAAACAGCGAAAGCCAAAGAAGCAGCAAAGTGCGCAGCTCTTGAAGAGCCCCATCTTGTGGAAGTTTCAGAACGAACTTCTCCTGAATTTGAGTTTTAGAAAATCCCGTCTCGAACTTGCAACTTTTCTTAACTCGAATCTGCTGCTGCGCTGCAGAGGCCCCCCAGGGCCTGATCCGCGGCCGCGTCGCCGGCGCGGACTCCGCCGCCAGCGAAAACCTTTTCTTCCTCGACGCCCACTGCAAACCCCAAAAGGGCTGGGAGTATCCTTTGCTGCAGCACTTGAAAACCAACTACCGCAGGGTCGCCTGCCCCGTCATTTACGTGCGCCCCACCCACCAGCAGCAGCAGCAGCAGCAGCAGCAGCGCCAGTAGCAACAGCAGCAGTAACAGCAGCAGCAGTAACAGCAGCAGCAGCAGCAGCAGTAACAGCAGCAGCAGTTACAGCAGCAGCAGTTACAGCAGCAGCAGTAACAGCAGCAGCAGCAGCAGTAACAGCTGCAGCAGTAACAGCAGCAGCAGTAGCAGCAGCAGCAGTAACAGCAGCAGCAGTAACAGCAGCAGCAGTAACAGCAGCAGCAGCAGCAGCAGTAACAGCAGCAGCAGCAGCATCAGTAACAGCAGCAGCAGTAACAGCAGCAACAGTAACAGCAGCAGCAGTAGCAGCAGCAGCAGTAACAGCAGCAGCAGCAGCAGTTGATGTTGCGTTTTGGCGTGGGCAGTTTGGGGTGTACGTACAGGACGTGAAGGAGCACAACTGGGAAGACGTGGGGACCCACGGCTCAAAAATGATGTTTGAGTGGACTTTTGAATTTAGTTGGTTTGAAGACCTCGAAGAAGAAATCCCACTCATGTCCGGAGGAATACTTGCAATGACCAAGGAGTGGTGGGAGGAGTCAGGTCCGCCGCCGCTGCTGCTGCTGCTGCTGCTGCTGCTGCTGCTGCTGCTGCTGCTGCTGCGGCCGCTGCAGCAGCTGTTTCTCTCGTTTTTTTCCGTTTTTTTTCGTTTTTTTCTCTTTTTTTTTCTTTTTTTGGCTTTTGCATTTCCCCTCCTTGCCTTTACTTCTGCTGCTTTCAAAACTCCACCTCCTTTTGTCTCAGTCGAATTTTTCAGGAAAGTACGACTCGGGGATGCTGGAGTGGGGCGGGGAAAACCTGGAGCAGTCCATGCGCCTGTGGCTCTGCGGCGGCGAAATTGTTGTCGACAGAAGATCTCAAATTGGACACATTTTCTCCAGACCCCCAAAACCGAATCCCGAAAACAAACTCGTCATTCAGGTGCAGCAGCCCCTGGCTAGCTAGCTAGCTAGCTAGCTAGCTAGCTAGCTAGCTGGCTGGCTGGCTAGCCGAGCTAGTTAGCTAGCTGGCTAGCTAGCTAGCTAGCTGGCTTGCTGGCTAGTTAGCTAGCTGGCTAGCTAGCTAGCTGGCCGGCTGGCTAGCTAGCTTGCTGGCTAGCTGGCTAGCTGGCTAGCCAGCAGCTAGATCTGTAGTTCGCTCCAGCTAGCTAGGTCTCGCGGCAGCAGTTGCGTGGGCGGGAAGCCCCAGCTAGCCACTAGCTAGCCACTAGCTAGCCACCAGCTAGCCACTAGTTCGCCACTCAACTGCAGGAGATGCTCCGAGTCTACTTCTTTGACGGCCCTAACTGCCTGTGTTTGCATTTGCTGTTTTGTGCTGCCTTTCGCCGCTGCTGTGCCGCCACTTGCTGCCGTTTCGTGCTGCCTGCTGCTGCTGCTTTGCTGCTGCGTGCTGCTGCTTGCTGCTGCTTGCTGCTGCTTGCTGCTGCTTGCTGCTGCCTCCCCGCAGGTGCAAAAGAACCAGAAAAGAGCCGCCAAAGTCTGGCTCGATGAATACTACGCTTTGTTTTATTTGTACCACCCGGAGGCGCGGCGGCACGCAGAGGGGGACCTGCGGGAGCGGCTGGAGCTGCGCTACAACAAACTGAACTGCGTTTCTTTTCAGTGGTTTGTGGACAAGTTCCGGCCAGCTTTCGAGCGAAAGCTGCTGCTGGACCACGACTTCAAGCACATCCAGCACGCAGCTTCGGGTGGGGCCTCAGCAGCAAACTAACGAAAAAAAAAACGAAAAAAATGCATGCAAAACGGCGCCAGCGGTGTACGTACACCCCGCAGCGCCGCGGTGTACGTACACCCCGCAGCGCTGCGGTGTACGTACACCCCGCAGCGCTGCGGTGTACGTACACCCCGCAGCGCCGCGGTGTACGTACACCCCGCAGCGCTGCGGTGTACGTACACCGCGGCGCCCGCAGCTGGGGGGCCAAGTTCCGTTCGTTCACTTTCTTTCTTTTGCTTCTTTTGGCGCTGCTGGCTGCTGCAGGGCTTTGCGTCGCTGCAGACAGAAACCCCAAGGGCCACGACAAGATCAAGCTGGCAGTTTGCAACGTGGCGGACCAGGACCAAGTGCGTCAGTTAAAGAAATTAAAATTTAAATAGTTTTTTTAGCAAACTTCGACAAAGAAACAGAAAATAAACAACTAAACTAGTCCTCACAGAGCTGCAGCAGCGGGCCCCGAAACGGCTCTGGAAAGCTGCTGCGCTGCGGTGTACGTACACTGCGGCTGCGCGCGCTGCGGTGTACGTACACTGCAGCACTGGCAGGTGGTGAGCGGAAACCGCATGCTGCAGAACAGAGGCACTCGCAAGTGTCTGGACTCCGCGACTTTTGGAGACCAAGTGCCGATTTTGTTTCGCTGCGACTGGAATGGAGTGATCCGGCGGGCCAACTTGAATCAGCTGTGGCAGTGGGACGCAGCAGCAGCAGCAGCAGCAGCAGCAGCAGCAGCAGAAGACACCACTGCCACGGGGCGCATCTTCGTCTACGACGGGTACTGGAGTTTGTCGCTGACTGGCGCAGACATTTTCCCCCTTCAGAAAGAATACCTCGAGAGCCCGAGGGCCCGCTGCCTGGCCGCAGAGCGTACGAAACCAGCAGCAGCAGCAGCAGCAACAGCAGCAGCAGCAGCAGCAGCAGCAGCACCTGAGGAGCTGCGGCTGTTCCTGAGGCCCTGCGTGGGCCTCGTCGAGGGGGAAAGCGACCCCATGAAGTTCGTGCCCAAGTGGACTTGGTCTCCGCTGTCTACGCGTTTCGGGAAGCGAACACTGCAGGACGGCCTCAGAATAACGGACGAGTTCGCGGTAAACTACATGAAAGCCCGAATGTAAAGAAATTAAAAACCAAAGAATTCAAAAAATGAGCCAAAGGCGGCGAAACTGCGGCGCCGCGCGCCCTGCACGCTGAGGTGTACGTACACCTGCGCAACTGCGCGCGGCGTTCACTTTCCGCACGTGTCGCGATCTGTCCTGAAAAAAGTCAAGAAAGCTTTCAGAAATGTTTGTGCAAGTGAAATTAACAAATTAATCGCCACGCGAACTCGCGGAATTGCAAAAGACCCATTTTTGAAGTTCGAATTTGAAAGCCCCTGACACGCAGCCAGCAGCCGCCCGGGCAGCAGCAGCAGCAGATGGGAAAGAAGCAGCACTAACTATTTGAGAATTCAAAAAGTATTTAAATTAAAAAAACAAAATAAACCTCCAGAGTCAGCAGCGGCAGAACTTCGCGATGTTCATGCTGGCTGCATGCAAGTTGGGCACATCAACTGGAATTGGAATTTTCGCCGGATTTCCCGCGAAGTTCGCCAAAGTTACTTCACTCGAAGGTTTATTAATGAACTTCAACTCGCGAGATAGCAAAGAGCCCGTGGTGATCTCCAAAAAGTCCTCGAGTTGGACTTTTCTGGCGGCGGGGTTTGCGAAGTCGGTGAGGAAGAGGCTGCCCATCTGCTGTACAGACACCACAGCGTGCTTGTTCAAAAGCTCCACTTCCCACAAAGACATTTTCGCCTGTCTCCGCGCCAGAGGCGGCACTTCTTCTTTTCGAATTTCCAGACTTTTCGGCAAACACTTCTTCACCAACTTGCACAAGGCGCTTTTCTCGTTGCCGGCCTCCCCCGGGGCCTCTTCCTCGTCCTCGGAGGACGCCGGGGGGCCCCCCGGGGGCCCCCCGGGGGCCCCCGCCGGGGGGGCCCCCCACGAGGGGGCCCCCCGGGGGGCCCCCAGGGGGCCCCTGGGGGCCCCCCGGGGCCCCCGGACTTGGCAGTTGCTGTAGTCGAAGCTGTCCCCAGAGACCCGCAGGCTGGCAGCAACGTGGGGCGGCAGCAGCAGCAAAGGCCTGCAAATGCTGCTGTGTTTCTGGAGGAGAGCAGCAGCAAAAGCCTGGAGACAAAGTGCTGCAGCAGGAGCAGCAACGCATGCAACTCTGCAGCACTTTTTGATGAAAGCAGCAACTAAACAAGTTGGCAGCAAATCACTTCTCAAGGCCAAGTGCAGCAGCCGCAAGAAGCGGCCCCGCAGCCGCGGGCAAAGAGCAGCAGGAGTGAGCAGCCTATAGAGCTGCTGGTACAAGTGGGCCCCTGCTGCTGCTTCCTGGTCTGCTGCAGCAGCAGCAGCAGCAGCAGCAGCAGCAGCAGAGAGCAGCTCCGGGTTGCCCAGGCGGTGCTTCGTCAGCAAATAAAAAAGGCCCGACAACGCGGAAATCCGCAAAGACAAATGACTGGACTCTGCAGCTTTTAAGAAGAAGTCCGACAGCAGCAGCGGACTCGACAGCAGCGGCAGCACCCGCCGCGGCACTGCTGCCAGCAGCTGCTGCAGCAGCGCCTTGCTGTGCTGCACCTGCAGCAGCAGCAGCAGCCACGCGTTTTGAAGCGCCAGCCTGTGGCTGCCCGGCTCCACGGCCTTCGCAGCAGCAAGGCCTTTTATCCAAGTTGCTGCTGCTGCTGCTGCTGCTGCTGCTGCTGCTTCTTCCTCTATCCACTTCTTTTCGTCTTCGCTTTCCGAGGCTTCGCTGGCGCTGTCTTGGGGGCCCCCCGGGGGCCCCCCG